TAATTTTGTAAATTATAATTAATTAAAAATAATAATTATAATTAATTAAAATAAATTATAACTAATATATTTTTTTTTATATATTTATTTTTTTGCACGGCAGACTGACGGGATTTGGCCGGAGAAGACTACGAATAGGAGAAAGTTACCTTCTCAGGCGGCGAGCTCCCGTTGTTGATCCGACCAAAATGTCGTGGCTTCCAATCCGACAGCAAGGGAATGACGTCGAGGGAGCAAAGTCGACCAGCCACAAAGGAGCCTTCACAGCCGCGAGCTCCTGCTTCTTGCGTCTGATCAAAATGTCTGACTTCCGATCCAGCTGGAAAGGAAAGTCGTTGAAGGGAGCGGAGTCGAACAGCCACTGGGGAGTCGGGGAAGGGCCGCACGAAGGGTAGAAAGTTAACTTCACGGCCGAGCGAGCTCTTGTTCTCACTCCCGATCAAAATGTCGTACCTTCCGGTCCGACTAGGAAAAGTCGGCAAAGGAGCGCAGTCGAACAGCCACGGGAGGGCCGGAGAATGTAGCGCCCAAGGGAGAAAGGTAACTTCACAGCCCGCGAGCTCCCGTTCCGCTTCCGATCAAACTGTGCAGCTTCGATCCGTCCAGGAAGAAGAGAGAGCAGGAGATGTCGGGGAAGAGCGAAAGAGAGCGGGATCGGGAGAGAATCAGAGCGGAGCCGTTGAACGAGGCCTTCGGCCTCATTTTCTTTAACTTTTTTAACGACATGAATGCGTCGTGGGAGAGGGGACGTCGAGACGTGCTAACGACGTGCGAGGTATGGCGCCGAGATTTGATTTTTATATATTTTTTTTTATCTGTTTTTACGGGTCAACACTAAACCTCAGGTAGTTAGACTTATCTAATGATTAGTTTTAATCTAAAGTTTTCTCTCATGACTAGGAGGGGTAATTAATCATATGGCGCCTATGAGAAATCTAGAACAAAATTTGAAGTCCTCGCAAAATAAGATCGAAATCCCTTGGTAGTATCTTATCTTTAATGTCTTCTGAAAATTTTTCTCGGAACATCATCCATTAAAATTCTCCTTATATGAAAAAGTCGCGGAGAGGCCAGGGTATGAATTTTCAGAGCACACCATATTCATAAAATCCTTTAGCAACCCTTATATAGGAGAATGATCTTATGCGTCTTGAAAATAAAAATAGCAAAATATAGAAGAAAAAACAAATTTGGGGTTGATTTTTTATTACTCCTAATAACAAAATATACAAGTGATATGCTAAAAGAGGTAGATCAGCTCTCCCACAAATCCTAGACATCGCTAGGAACAAAGCCTAAGAAAACTACAACAAATATAAATCACCTCCTCAAAATAAAACAACCTAATTACCCTTATATAAATCCTCATATTTTCCTTCCAAATTTGAATTCAAATCAACTCTCTTTTCCTTAATAAAACCTTCATAATTCCCTCTCAAATTTGAATTTAAATCCGCTCTCTTTTCTTAAATAAAGCATTCCTAATTCCCTCCCAAATTTGAATTCAAATGAGTCATCTTTTCTTAAATAAACCTTTCCTAATTGTATCCCCAATCTAAATTCAAATTAGCCATCTTTCCCTAAATAAAATTTCATAATTATTTCTCCAATGATTTCTCCTCCTTATATAGTGAATATTAACTCTCATGGGCCCCACAAGGCGGGCCCCTCTGGTGTATCAATACTTCCCCAAAAAAACATCTTGTCCTCAAGGTGGAAGGATGGGAACTGTTTCCTGGTTAGCTTGTAAGGTTCTCATGTGGTTACATACTCTGACAAATCCTTCCACTTGATAAGTACCTTTTGGACAATAAACCCAAGATGCTGAGAATGAATTGGCACCTTTTTGTCAAGGGGAACAAAATGTACGAAATTATGCATAACAGACTCGGTTGGGACATCATCTCGATGGAAGTTGTGAAAGAGCTCTCTAGTATCTTTGGACTGCATAAAAGTTATGAACTATCTAGGTAGTTAAGCAATTGTTGGGATTCCAAGATTTAGATGGACCTTGGTAGTCAGTTCCAGCAAAACCATGAAGGCCTTTCCTTGGCATATAATCACGCCCTGGGAGTAAACTACGCCATAAGCAGCATTTGACCCTTGAGAATAGTTGAGATCATCAAAATTCCGCCTTATAGTTCCTAAAATTGAAGCTGATTATGGTGTGTCATACTGAGAACTACCAAGAATGGGTAAAACATGTGGATCTATATCCATTATTCCACCATAAAACCTAAATTCTTGAGAATCGGGATGAATAGGTGCATTTCTTGCTGCAAGATATTTAGCTTACTTCACATCAAGACTAGGATGTGGTGACCCTAAGATTACCACCCTAGGATCGCGATCGCCCCAATAGTTTTTTCCTCCTATAGTGTAATGGTTGTCGTGATTCTTTCATGATTTTCACGTGTATCAAGAGTGGGAATCCCACATTTCTTCCCTCCACCTCACATGACTTGATCCCCGTGGTTCTTGCTTGTCCCCTTCCTTCTCCGGTCATCCACTCCCCTTTCCCAAAAGACCTATATAGTTGGCCACCCCGTAACCTTCACCACAAATCCCCTTCCTTGCTATCCCCCCATCTAGAAGCTCTGATTCTCTCCTTATCGGAGCCATAAAAGGTGGCTCTTGATGAAAGAAATTCTCTTCATCGAACTTCTCATGTCTGATATCCTTTCCCTTAGATTTTGCCAAGAGAATCTCGGTCAAATCTTGGATGGTAATTGGAACCGCTTGTAGGGTTTTGGATCGCATCTCCATGAGTTTTCTCATCATCTTCTCCAAAATTTCCTTTCCCTTTGGTTCAACCCTAGGAATCGCCGGTGATGCTTTAGACTGCATGTCGATCATTTTCTTCATCATATCTTCCAAGTTTTCAAAGTGGCTATCTATGGATGAGAGCCTTTCTTCCATAGTTGTAACCTTCCCTTCGATGGTTAGAACTTTTCCTTCATCCGGGATTTGGTTTGCTCCAATTTGCCTTCCAACGCATCCACCTTCTTTGTTGTCATCTCTCCAAAATCTCGCTCTGATACCAATTTGATGCTTCTTGAAAGCAAAAACAGCAAAATATAGAAGAAGAAATGCAGGAACACAAATATAGGTGTTGATTTTTTATTACTCCAACTGATAACAAAAGATACGAGTGAACTGCTATTAGAGATGTAGATCAACACTCCCACAAAACCTAGGTGCCGCTAGGAGCTAACTCCTAAAAAAACTACATTAAAAATAAATCATCTCCTCAAAATAAAACAACCTAATTACCCTTAAATAAACCCTCATATTTTCCTCTCAAATCTGATGGCATTCCTTCTTTTAAAATTAATATTTTGACCTTTATAAAATAGTGATTTGTATTTTGTTTATATAGATGCTTAACTTGTTGTAGAGTTGAAGTACTTTGCCCATAAAAAAAAATTTCTCTGTATGCTTTATGTGAAGTCAGTTATGACTGTTCATGTTCCCTTTATTGTCTACAGTTTATAATTTTTTGTGTTCTTTCAAACTACATTTAGAAGAAGCTCAAGAACAAATTTACTAAATTTTAATGTTCAAGATGCATGTTACTTAGTAAACTTTTCTTTAATTACGGTTTGTTCATTTGGTGCTTGATCCAGTCTTGTATACGCTACTTGATGTCATCTTGTTCTTATGATTATATGACAGTTGATTGGCTTATTTTTCCTACCAGTGTGTGACTGCCATGGGTTTTGAACTTACACGAGTGACCTTGGTTAACATCGCAGGAGAGGTAGAGCCTTTTTTCTTTTATTAGTGATACATTTCTTTTTTTAATTGTCTGTCAAATTATTTTTATTGAATTTATCGCAGGCTATGATTTATAAGTTTCTTGTTGTTTTATTTTATACGATATTTCCATACTAGCAAGTTATCTTTGTTGTTTGTTTCTTTATGAATAATTTATGCATCCTAGGTGTTAAGACATTCCCTTATCCAATTAAGGCATGGATGAATATTTCATGGCAATTCGATTTATAAACTATTTCTTCCTGTTTAACGCTATTTATAATGTCAATAAGTATGCTATTAAATATTCTAAGTACAATAGTACTGCAAGCCATCTCTCTTGATTTTAACTGAAGGACATCGATTGGATTTCTGCCTATTTTGTAGGAATTATGGCGTTATATGCGGCAAGAGGAGGTACCTTTTGGCATATGAGACACTTTTGGAAAATTAGGAGCACATGTTTGCGCCCAATTTTCTTGTAGCATATTGTGAAAAGTGGGTTGAGAATATACCAGGAGGTCCAGGCCTGCCTTATATAGTGTCAGCAAGATGAGGGTGCACTACTGTAGTGGTTGGTGATAAACCCATTTGATTGACAATTAAACTAGTTACTCTTGCTGCAATAGATTCTGTATATCTACACATTGGTTTAACTTGAATATATCAAATTTTAATTATTTTATTACCTTGGGATTTGTTTTCATAATATTTATGTAATCTTTCAATATATATATATATATATATATATATATATATATTAACAACAAGATCTAATGGGATCCCTTGAATTCATGTTGATCACTACAAATATAATCACAATAACAAGTCTTTATCCCACTTCATGGGTCAACTATATGAATTTTTTTCTCCATTGTACCCTGTTAATAGTCAAATTCTCATTTAAATCTAATAAAAAAGGTATTTTCTTTTTAGGTCTACCTATACTTTTCTTAATATAGGCCAAATTTAATATAGCTAATCTCTATATTGGGTCATCAGAAGGCCGACATTTTGTGTGACACTTTTCCACTTGAGTAGAGGCTGAATCAACCTTACTTTTGAGGGTGAACAAACTCATTATATAAAAAACTAAATATAAAAAATTAAAAAATCTATATAAGCTAAAATTCTAAGCAAAACCTTTTTCAAAGTGAAGACCGAGAAGAATCCCTTTCTCAAAGTCACTTGAGTCTTAAGAGTAGAATCCGTGTTATTGTCAGTGCTACCTTGCTGCTTTATTTTTTCTGCAGACCCTACGATGTTATATTAAGTGACACTTTCCACATGGACTGTTGAATTTATTTAATTTATTTGATTTGATTGATTGTTTACTTTGATTACGATTATGATTGCTTGTTTTTCTTAGTTTTTGGGCGTTGCATGTAGTATTTTATTTTAGCATGGAATTTGATCGGAGGCTGATGAGAGAACGTTTAAAAACTTTTTCTACTTTAATCAATAAAAAAAAATTTAGCTCACATAGAAACTCTAACGACTTTAGGGAGTAAGCTCGGAACGTTGAGGGTCTCATGCATTCATTTTGAGCTTTCTCTTCCTTGTTAGACACCTCCCCCCTATAGTTCTGAGTTCTGACAGGCCACCTAACCTATTAGGGTGCAATCCTGTGAAGGGGATGTTATACAATCTTTAGGATAAAACCTATTTTAAGCCTTTTTTTAAAATTACTTCATATTTGATTTAAGTATTCATCGAGTAAATCAACATACATTATATTAGAAACAAACTTAAAAGTGTCTAAATCTCTAATTGCATTTTACTTTCAATCTTCATAATACCCTACATGTGTTAAGGGGCCACTTAGGACATTCTCTAGACATCGGCCCCAACTTTTCAAACTTAATCAACAAGTTTTACCACTCTTTCATAAAAGATCAGATACATGGTTTTAAAGCTCCTAGATGGTTAGCTGAATCTCCAATCCAGGCTGGAATAAGTCTAGATTTGCACTACATTAGCTAGATTTGGGCTACTGATATTCAGTGCCAAATTTAGATTTAGATTCTGAGGTAGGTTCAGACTATAAGACCTCAACATTCTGGGAATATAATCCCAACTTTCTAATAAAATTGACAACTCAAATTAAACCACTTTCAATCTAAAAATTAAGGCCAATATATATGATAGGCTGGGGCGATTTTAAAATATTTCAGAATTCTAAAGCATTTCCTACCTGTCATCCTTTGACATCTAGAAATAAGTGTTCAAATTTGATCAATTCCCATTTAAAATTCCAGCTTCAATCCTTTGATATCACTCCTTTAAAATTCCAGATGAAATTTTTACCCTTATTTTAATCGAGAGTATTCGTATGAAACTTATGTTTCTTACGATATAATTAACTATGATGGCTTACGCTCGTAAGAGATTTAGGACCTAGATCAATTTTTCAAAATCAAGTTTTTAAAATTCAATTAATTCTCTTTGGGAAAATCAAATTCGAGAATCATTATTATCATATTCAAATGATTGATAATAGATGATATTTTCTTTTCCCGGGAAGATATGTCATCTTATTATCATAATTTTGATTATGAAATTAATGATCATTTATTCAAATTATTGTAGTCAAATACTCTATCAAACATCATTTTGAGTTTTTGACCCTCTGGGATCATATGTTATTCTTCCCTGTGTTTGACTACGATAATCATGATGATCTTTTACTTTAATAAACTGAACTCATTAGGAAATGATATTTCGCCTCCCGAGGCGATACATCGTTCATAATAACGTGTTCAATTTCAAAACTAAAATTTCAGAAAATAAAATTTTCCAAAGAAAATTAATCTTTTCAAAATTTCAACTTTTTCAATCAAACAACATTCCATCAAAGCATAAACTAAGCTTAAACTATATTAACTAATATTGATTGTGAACCAATCAAATAACTAAGCTCGTAAACAACATGAATTGCACAATGTTTTGGAATATCAAAGCAGTGCAAACTAACTCCATGTATGAATTTTTAAGAATATTGTATGAAATCATATTATCAAATAGAGCAATTTAATTGCTTTGGAAATCATAATATGCAGGGATAGGATGAATGCTAAACAACAAGATAAACTTAAAATCAGCAGCAACTTTATGTAGTAGAAAATTTAAATGTGTGTTAAACACCAATTTAATGTTAATCATAAAGAGACTACTGTTGAGCAAGCAAAACTGAAGTACAAACTAAAAAAAATTACAAAGAATGTCTTTGAAATATTTAAAATAACTTGTAAGTTTAGTACTAAATTTTGAAGTTGAATAACAAATTGTGGTCTATAATAATGAAGTAATGCTCCTATAAAATTTTCTTCTAATCCACCAAACTTTTCTATCATTAGGAACTCCCATGATGGTCTCCCTATAGTTCTTATCTTGCATATAGTCTGTTGCAAAGTCGTGGACTCTATCATCAAATATCTGGTATTTGAGAGATTTCTTTCAATACATAAAGAATTGTGACAGTTTTTCGGGGAGCTTTCGCCGTAGCTATTGCAACACTTATAGATCTTACATCGTTTACAAGTTCCTCAACATGAGCTATAAAAAGTTGCCTTCCCCTTTGACTTACTTGTTTTTACCGTTCTCCTTTTATAAATAAAAGGTTGAGTATTATTTGACCTCTATGACTTTACCTCGATAGCACCTGTAAGCCCATTACCATGTACTGTGTCTGCATCATCTGCTTAAATTTCTTCTTCATCGGATGAATCTTGTTGGACATTTCTTTATTCAAGGGGAAGTACACCTGAGTTTGGAATTCATACGTCATCTCCAATAGCAACACTGTCACCAAACATAATATCGAGTTTCTCTTCAAGCTCAGGCATTATTTCGTTATATTGGAACATCTTAGTCGCAGGTACGAGCTACATTAGTAAAAAAGCTCATGAATTGCTAATTGTATTATGTTTCACATACTTATGTATTGTAAATTAATTATATGATGTTATACCTGCAAGGCTGTAATTTCTTGTTTCACCACTTGTTGAAAGCATCTACTGTTTTCTTTAATAGATTCCAATCAATTCCACTCTCTCAATGCATTAACTCTTTCCACAACTTCCCCTCCTTAAGTTGATCCAATTTATTTTTTAGTTGTGTACGATCATATGTCCTACTTATGTGTTTGTCAAAATTTTTAATTAGGTTTCTCCAACCTTTCTTGTTAAAGTGTGTGCCTATTTCCTCACTCTCCTTAACAGACATATCACAGTAGATTAAAGTAATTTATGTTTCCCATGTCGCTGGCGCCCCACCTTTTTGTTTTCCCATCTATTGGTTACAGGGTAAAATTTTAATAAATTAATGAAGTAAACCTAGTGTTTTAATAATAACCCAACAATCACTGTTGAAAGATGAAACAATGTTAATTTGCTTCTCAATTTCATGTATTAATATCTCCCAAAATTGAAACGTGTTATGTAGTTAATCAGAAGAACTCTACTTACATATTTACATTAAGGAAGCAGATAAACTAGTAAATTGAATCTACAGACTTTTTTTAACAGATTAAATTTCTGATCTACATTTTATTCTAAAAGTTGTTTAGTTTAAATATTTTCATGTCTTGAATTACATATAATTTGTTGAGATTTCATTTGATGAGTAAAATAAATGCACCTCAGTATGATTTTATATAGTACTTTAATGCCAAAGTAGAGAATGTAGAGGATTGGTCTGAGGTGACCAGTAAGATGTTTAAGTAAGCTATCATTGTCAAGATGATGTTCTCGGTGGCTCAATGCAAACTTCAGAACTATAGAAAAGTAATTATTTCGGAAAATTCAGAAAAAAATCAGCATGAGAAAACGCCCATATCATTCAATCAGTAAATCTTTCTCAGACTTGAAGTGTCTTACTTGATCAAGGAGTTGAATCTTAAAAATTTTAAGATATCACATCCAATTAGATATTTTGTTCATGTGCAATTTATTATTTTTGTACGTTTTACAAATTCCTTATTTATAATTATAAACCTTAGTAAAGAAGTCTCCTTGATCATTCTTAATAAGTTTCATTTTTTTCTTATTGTTCCGCTGCATTTTGTCATTCTAAAATACAATACAATAAGTTGAATATGATGTGTGTAACTTCTTAATTTTACATTACTATTTATATAAATTTTGTGTAGTTCAAATAATGCTTAACTTGTGTTCCTTTTGTTATAGGTGTTACTAGATGAACTTGTTAAGCCTTCAAATGCTATCATCGACTACAATACTAGGTATGTGCTAAAGTTAAAATCATTTAGTACTTTTGTAAATTTCTCAAGTCATTTGCTCTTTTTTTAATTCACATGAGTGTATGTTTATTAAATCTCCAGCTCTTTTTTGGAGTCATGTACATGTGTCTCGGTTCATGCGCAACATACACATTCCACGAAAGTTTTTTGAATTTCTCAAGTTCATCTTCTTTTTTTTTTTTAGATTCATATGCACGTATTTATGCATATTTAGGTGCGTGCTTCTCAAGTCATAAGCTCTTTTTTTAGAATTTCTTAGGTTTTGAGGGCTCTAACCACTGGCTAGGGCTTTGGGAGAGTCGTATTTTCCTCTCCAATTAAATATCCAATGGTATCTTGTTGTTTTCTTTCATATATCTTGCAATAAAAAGAGTTTTAATGTGTTCTTCTTCCTAATTTCTTATTTTCGTTTGTTAATTTCGAGAAAATTGTATCAACTTCTTATCAAATTGGTATCAAATCACTTTTTAGGACCTATGGCGACAAAGGTGGATGTATTAGAAGGCAAAGTTGACCAAATCAAATCCTGGTTGGTGGAGAAGTTCTCAGCTATCAAAGGAAGGCTTTCATCGTTGGAAGGAAGACTTTCTAGCCTAGAGGGCATGATGAAAAAAATATTGGAGCCTCACACAATTGACGACATCGGAGGCAATGACACCGTTGACCGGACAAGGAATTTGTGGAAATCCTAATATAAGGATGATGATAGAGGGCTGAGGAGGTGGAAATGTTGGGGGTGGGGAGAGAAGAAGAGATGTCACATTTGGAGCCACTTTCGAGGACGGGAAAGGGGAAAGGGTAAAGGAGTGGGGATTTTGGTGGGTTTGCAGAATTGGAAGGAGAATAAGATGGAGAGAAGATAGAAGCACCAGACATGGTTCAACCACTTCTACGACATTATCAAGAGGTGTTCCAGCCAGTTCAGGGGTTGCCTCCTCCACGGGAACACGAGCATGCTATCATTTTGAAGGAAGGAGTCTCACATATCAGTGTTTGTCCATACCATTCTCCGCAACTATAGAAGGATGAAATCGATAGATTGATTAGGGAGATGTTGGACGTAGGGATCATCATACCCAGTGACCGTCCATTTTTCAGTGCAGTGCTATTAGTCCAGTGCTTTAGTAGCAGTCCAGTGCTTTAGTAGCAGTCCAGTGCTTTAGTAGCAGTTTCCTTCATTCCACCTTGAGGATAAGGTGACACTCTGGGAGGAGAGTATTGATGGGCCGATTGATTTGATTGGAAGGAAATTAGGAAGTTTCCTAATCAAGATGAAGTTGTTTAGGAAGAGTTTTAATCAAAGGGGAATTATTTAGGAAAGTTTTAATCACAATTGGGAGGGAATTATTTAGGGCAAGAGATCTGATTTGAATTTAAATATGAGAGAAAATTATTTAGGGAAAAGGGGATGATTTAGAAGGGAATTAGTGGAGCCTATTTAAGGCTAATAATAGGGTGATTTCAGGATTATATTTTGAGTTTGCTAAAATTAGAATTTCTTAGGTTGTGAGGGCTCTAGCTTCCAGCTAGGGATTTGGGAAAGCCGGATCTTCCTCTCCAATTGATGATCCAACTGTATCTCGTTGTTTTCTTTCATATTGCTTGCAATAAAAAAGGGTTTGTTCTTCTTCCTAATTTCTTATTGTCATTTGTTGATTTCGAGTAAATTTTATCCCCTTCCTATCAGAGTCTTAGAACCTAAGATTTCTAATGCATACCTACTACGACATGCATAAAATTATGCAACTCTACACATGCATTCACATGTTAGAATCTCTTAATTTTAACAGCTGTTGTCACTTACGATGAAATTGAAAATATGAAGAAATTCAATGCAAAGGATAATTCAATGGTGTGCCACTAGAAACAATGTTTTGAAATTCATAACCACAATATAACATGCAATTAGTTGGAAACCATGTACTTGTGCAAACTTTAATTGTTTTAAATTTGAATCAAATCATTCACATATTCAGTCCAATGAGAAGGTTTCTAGAAAGCAAATACAATATGTTCTTATAACCTAAGATTTCTAATGCATACCTACTACGACATGCATAAAATTATGCAACTCTACTCATACATTCACATGTTACAATCTCTTAATTTTAACAGCTATTGTCGCTTACAATGAAAATTGAAAATATGAAGAAATTCAATGCAAAGGATAATTCAATGGTTTGCCACTAGAAACAATGCTTTGAAATTCATAACCACAATATAACATGCAATTAGTTGAAAATCATATACTTATGCAAACCTTTATTGTTTTAAATTTGAATCAAATCATTCACATATTCAGTCCAGTGACAAAGTTTATAGAAAACAAATAGAATATGGTCTCTTACTCCCCCCTCTTAAATGGTTTAAAGGTTGATTAAAATCAATTTTACTTTTTTTGGATTCAACCAGAGTTTTCATATTCTTTTGAAAGCATCTATCATTAATAAATCTTTTGATATGCCGAGGAAATTTGACTTTATCCATAATATTCTTATCATGTATTAGGAAATCAAGAATCAAACTCAAACCAACGCCAGAATAATTTATAATTGTAGGTATACTTTCATTAGAGCAGTGTTACATTTTTAGATGGGCAATTTTAGTATTTAAGATTTGCTTAGTTTTCAATTCAGGCATAGGTTCATATTTCAATTGAGGTATAGTTAAAAATAATGTTATAATTGAATTCAATTTAAATTTAGATTTAACTTTTTGGTTAACTATAAGTTCAAGTTTATGAATATGTTATAAGATTTCGGGGCAATGTTTTATGCAAAAAAAAAAAAAACACTACTATTATTATTATATATATTTTGCATTTAATAAATCATTTAAAAATATTCTCTAGCTATAATTTTTTAAGAAAGATCAAATTTGATCATGCAAGATACTTGAGTTTGTGTGCGTTTAACTGGTTTTAATTGAAATGTTAGTGATTTTTAGAATTATTAATCAATGATATTGTTGTTCTAAATGGAGAATTGTAAAATAAAGCCTCAGCTATTACCTTTGAGGAATTGTGGTTTAATTTATGTTTAATTTTTTTTTTTATCTAAGATCATTAATTAAAATATTACTGTTTGCAAACCGAAATATTATATCCTACATCTAAAATATATTATGATGCAATGATAAGAACCAATACCAAATTTGAGGTAGGATATCCTAGGGTGTAGATTTCTAGTGTAGGTCTACCAAGAGGTACACAAATGCAACATTGCTGAAAGCATCAGAGGCCTCAAACTCTTAATTTTAGCGTCTATTTGTCATTTTTTATTTTTAAAAAAGGAATTCAACGCATGATAATTTGATAGTTTTATTCTAGAAAATACATTTAGAAATTGTAAACCAAAAAAATCATGTAACTGGTTAAAAATAATACGCTCTAAGAAACACAGTTATATCAAAATTGAATCAAATCAATCACACAGTCAATCCATTTGAAAGATTTAGAGAAAATAAATAAAATAATAGTAAGCATCTCAATTTTACAAGGTGATAACTTGAAAATATTCCCTAATTGATTGAAGAATGGACTCCCAAAAGTAGAAGTAATAGCCATCCAATTATAATTTTATTTAAGATATTAAACTTTATTCTCGTGTATTCTTCAAGCCCATGTTTATAATAAAAAATCCCTTTGAATTCCCTATTCACCAAAAGCACAGTAAAATCACAATAAATGCTGCATTTTCTGATCTTAATAAATCCAAACATCAACATCAAGTTGCAATCACGATACCCACATATCAATAGCCTCAAATCATATTTAGAATCTCAACCTAAGGAAGAAGGAAGCTGCTTGCAATTACAACCGAAAGAAGCTGCCCATATGACTTTAGGAGGCTTGATTACAACAGAAAGTAATCATTCCTGCTGGAGGAGATTAACAGTAGGAGCATATACCCGTTCCACCACCAACAGTTATAAACTTATAATGGATTGATATGAAAGAGTCAAAGGAGCTAAAGAGAGCCCAGGGAAATCCAGCAAGCCAAAGAATGTCATTTGTGAATTCATCAAAATCTAATGACTTCAGTTCATCAGTACAAACTCTCTTTCAACATTGTAACATAATGGGCATGTTTTACTGAAATCAAAGGAAAAAAAATTGCTAAAACTAAATTCTTACTAAAATTAAGGCTCATGCTGTAGAAAAACACTAGTACCAAACTAAATGTCATCTTTCAGATTGTCCATATTACGTTAAAGTAGTGGTAATTTCCTTGGTTTATTGTTTTCATTTCTGTGGTTTGTGTGCCCGTTAGATTAATGTATAATATCATGTTACATGCTTGAAGGGCACTTTGCATTCACATTCTAGCATGGTCCGGCTTGTGGCCCAGTATGATGTGTATGTATGAAATTCTGTTTAAAATCCTTTTCTTAGGCCATATGCTACCTGTTTGAAGCTCAGTTTAGATTAAACATTCTCCTGAATGGCTCTATTTGCATTCTAGAATGAGTTTCTACTTAAATAAGATTTTTGAATTGCCATAATCATGTAAACTCGCTATTTTCGGTGGTGCCTTGATTGGATTTTGGTTTCAACACTTTGTTTGGGCCTTGTATGATGATCTGATAAACTAAATCACAATTAACACTGCTGAATTTTCTCTTAGAGATTGCTTTTCTTTCTTTTTTTTTCAATTTGGAATAGCTATGAGAATTTCAAAATCCCGTTATTCAGAATTTAAACGTCTTTTTAGGTTTAGTGGTATCACAGAGGAGATGCTTAATGATGTTATGACAACGCTTGAGGATGTTCAGGTGCTTCTACAAATATTGTTTTATTTATTTCCCATGTTCATTATTTGGATGATCATAATCCTATGGCTGCTTATGTTCCAGAGTACTTTTCTCATGATGCCTTCTGTTATTGTTTTTAGAAAGATTTTCTGAAATATGTCTACAAGGAAACAATTCTAGTTGGGCACTCCCTGGAGAATGACCTCTCAGCACTGAAGATTTCTCATAATGTAATAATTGATACTGCTATTTTGTACAAGCAACCACGTTCTGGAACCCGGAAACCAGCATTAAGAGTTTTATCATGGAAGTTTCTCACTCGGAAGATACAAGTTCCCGGAGAAGGGCATGACAGCATTGAAGATGCAAGAGCTGCAATGGATTTGGCGCTGTTGAAGATTAAAAATGGTATATTGCTTAAAAAAATCCTGCATAATCTGTTTTTCTCAGTGTAGCTATCTCTATAACGATATTTATTTCTACCAATATTTTTGCCAGAAATTTTAGACTGATCAGAAATGTGCAGGCATTGCAACAAGTTTTCGATTGTTGTAGATTTACATTAAGTCAATGCCTAATTTATTCACTTGGTCCTATTTGCAACTCCTATAATACAATTCTTTACTCTGTCTGATCCCAAAGTTTTCTCCATCAGGACCTGAATTTGGATCACGTTCATCACTGATGCGATGCAAGTTGGTCTCTGTCTTGCATGAAGGTGGCAAAAAATGCTCCCTTGTAGATGATTCGTCCATAATAAGAAGATTTTCTGATGGAGCATGCAACGTGATTCCTGTTTATTCAGATGAAGAAGCTCTTTCAAAAGCCTTAAAAGAGGTAAAATATCAAAGTATTGTTGACATTAATGCCTTTCGTTTAATAGATAATATTTGTGTTTTAAAAGAAAGTTTTTACTTATTTGAAGGTAAAGAATGAAAATGTAAGCTTTGTTTGGACTCGATTTTCAAGACTTCACTCATATTGGAAGATGCAAACACAAAATACAGAGACGTTGAAGTATCGGGTTGCTGAAATGGTTTCAATGCTGACCTGTAATAGTAAATCAGCCAAGCAAGAAATAAGTCATATGACTTCAAGCTCTGAATTGAAAGTAATTTTATCTGAAATTGATGAAAGAATTCAAAAGCTCTATGATGCGTTGGCTGGAAATACTTTATTTATAGTATCCACTGGCCATGGGGATACAGCTATTGTTCAGAGGTAATTATTTTTAGCACAAGTTTTTTGGTTGTGCCAAGGTTGTTTGTCTCATTTCTTTCTTATTCCGTTTACATTAACCTATCCACATTATTGGTGCATTTTCTACCAATTTATAAATGCGTCACCTGCATAATATTTGCATTTCGATAATTTCTCATTTTATCTGATGTTGTGCAAGTACCTTTCATTATTGGCTTTGAGTTTGTTTTGGGTTCATCTTTGTTTATTTTTGAGCTTACTAATTTTATGTAGAGTTAGTTTGGTATTTTTATTTGTTTAATAAGGGTAGCTTTCTAATTTTTCAATAAAGCTTATTTATATGTATAAATTTTCCTACGTTTACCATATTTTGCACTTTGGAGCATGAGTAGTGTTTAGCGTGCTGGGTATGGCATGACCAGGTTCAACCTTGGCGTGCCTTGAAAAAAATATTTTTACCAGAGCTTGCAATATGAGGTCTTTGGTTCAAGTTGATCTACTTGTTTTTACACTTTAAAAGGGATAATTGATTTTTTATGTTTTAATTCATGGTGTGTATGTTTATGGATGATAAACCCTATTTAGCTTGAGCTATCTTTATATTCACATTTTTATAATGGAACTGGCTGCTTTGGTTCCTTAACAATTGCCACGAATTAGCAGTTATATAGTGTATGAGCGTTTATTATGAGCAGAAATGTTCTATAGAGCTTCGGTTCTTCCTTTGGTGGTTCTTGTATCTTTATTCTGTTACTAATGCCTAATACATGTACAAAGACATTAGATTCTTGCTGATCACCAATTATAATTATATTATGACTCAGATAGGTAAAATAAAAGATAGAGTGCAAAGTATGTGGAAAAGAGAGACATTACTAAATCACAACCATTCTTGAAAATTTTCCAAACATCAGAATGAGTGCATGTAACCATATGCCTTTAATATTATGTAAAAAAATTCATACAATAATTTAATCCATGCAATTCTCAAGACACATTTCCATTAAATCAACAATTTATGCATAAGGAATGCCTTAACTATAGGCACATAATGACCATTATGCAGTGATGATGAAACAAATTTTGTAAAAGCTTGATGTTGTTGTTGTTATTATAGTAACAAGCTATATATATATACACACACACACTCTCTCTCTCTCTCTCTCTCTCTCTCTATAAGGGGTGTCCAAACGATCAATGGGTTGATTTTAGACATGAACCGAATCCGGTCAATTTGAACCTGGCCCGATAACTTGTTTTAATTAAAAAAATATTTTAAGTAATTTGTTAACCATAAATTTTAGTTTAATTGATAAAAAATAAAAAGATTATACCAACAAATAAAAGAATTTAAAAAAAAAAATTTAAATGGATCATTTTCTGGTCAAAATCGGGTTGGTGGGTCAACCTGAATTTGATCCGTTTTTTAAACAAGTCAATCCGAACCCATATTTTTTAGGTCGGTTTAGTGGGTTAGGTTATTTATTGACACCCCTAATATACTCCACCTGAAAGGAGAATCTTATTACATGGAAGGTGCTAGATTGGAATATAATATATTAGAAAATTATTATATCAGAATGATATGCTTCTATCACTTAAAGAATATCCTTATAATTGTGGATGTTCTAATCCTAGTTTTCTTCCTTTTGTATTCATCATGTATTCTTTTATGTAGACACCCATAATCAATAGTATACCCAAAATTTTCCTCTTAACAATAGCGAAGTACCTTTCAATTACAAATTGCCTCCTAATTGAGGCAGCTAGATCTTAAAACGAAACTTATTTGAGGTTATTATTGGTGGATTGGATTTTCAATAATCTACTTGAAAGCCCATATACTTTTAACAAATGTGCCTTTCTGCTTGTGCAAAGTTGTACCAATTTCTGTCACCATTTAAACAATGCTGCATTTTACTTATCTCCTTTCTTGTTTGATAGATAGATTTTCCATTTTTATTCTGTTACTTCTGCATTATTAACATTTCCGTGTTGCTCACTGTGGGTGATTTGTACTGATCTACTTCTAAAAAGACTTCGGAATATGCTCAAGGATGCCTTTGAACCTTCAGTCAGACAGGAGGATGTCCTTCGAGTCTTGGAAGAGCTCCAAGCTCAGGCAGAAGTCTCTCTGTGTTTTGCTATTGTCAAGCACTGGTAAAGGTGACCGGTGTAGGATTTCATTCCGGTTAGTTGCTCTATCAGGAATCTCCATTGCCTAAGGTGTAGGTTTCATTTGGGACGACTTTTTTACAGTTTCTTAAAGCAGTTTTTTAGTACAAAATTAAAAATTTTTGTACTAAAAGGCTGTTTTAAGAAGCAGAAAAAAAAAACGATCCCAAACAAAACCGTAGCTGATATTGTTTCGTCTATTCTTTTACTGATATTTGCTTCTTCCTCCAACTTCCCAATTTACCACAATGTGACTGGGCATTACTATCATTGAAGCTATTTGATGGCAATATTGGTGGGAGTATTGTATGGCTTTTCCATAACTAATAAAAGGAGATTCCATTGCCAGTTGTTCTATGTATTGCAGGAACCTAAAGATGACAAGCAAGAAGTTCAACTGAGGCTTTGTTTGGAACGGCTTTTTTATTGCTTCTTAAAACGAAATTTTAGTATAAATTTTTTAAATTTTTTTAACTAGAACTCCGTTTTAAGAAGCAATAAAAAAGTCGTCCCAAACGAAGCTTGAGTAGATGGAGCTTTTTCATTCCTATGGTCTATTTTGTGCTGTATAATTGCTATCTTGATTTTTTTTTGTTTGATGGAAGGCTGAATTAAATTTTGGGTAAATGTAAACTTTATGACTATGGGATGGAATTCTTAGAGAAATTACGTATGTTTTTGATGGGCGCACATTGCTTGCAGTGGGACTTACAATTGGGCTAGGGGCGGAACTAGCTTGAATTTTGAGGGGGACAAATACAACAAAAAAATAATTAAATATTAAAAAAATATTATTATATATCTATTTATTACGACAAGTTTTTTTTGAAAAAATTAAGTAAGAAAAATAAAGGAAAAATATGTAATTAAACAATCATGAAAAGCATGAAAGAGAATATTAGAACTAAATGTGAAGAATTATATAGATATTTTAGGACAAGATAGGATAAAAGAGTTTTTTAGGGGGGGCAAAAAAAATTTCGGAGGGGCAATAATTAAACAATAATAATATCAAAGTCTTTACCTCACTATATGAGGGCAGCTACAAAAATCTTTATTCTCCATGGTGTCTTGTTAACGGTTAAATTTTCATTAAATGAAAGGTCATTTTTATTAATTGTATATAGTTATTTAAGTTCTTTCTAGTGGTAGTCATAATAGAATCATCATTAAGAAATGAAACTTCACATTAAATAATTTGGGTGATTTACAAACATACCACTTATATCATACTATTTATATATCTAACACTTAAAGTCTTTAATATTTCATGCATATTATTTATAGACAATTTTAATATTAAATATGCAACTCCTATATTTCATTTATATCACGCATATTATCATATAAAATTTAATAGTTTATTTTTTACACCTATATTTGGTCTATGAGTTGTATATATAAAATATTAAAATTTTTAAAGTTAGATATATAAATGACATGACAATAAATGAGATATATATATATATATATTTCATGCATGAAGTTACAATTATTATTAAATTGGTAAATGTAAAGTTAACTACTATTTTTTTTTTTTCCCCCCCTTATGTGGCTCAAATTGTTAAAGTTTAACTACTAATGATTACAGCCAACAAAAGCAAATTTCAGTTTGTTTTGCATTCACGCGTTAAGTTATTCGTAGCTCAAAACCTGATTAAGTTTTCCTTTGTGATGGTTTTTTTATTTTTTAAAAGTTATTTTTTAATATAAAGTTTTTTTAAAAATAAAAAAAAAGTGATAAAAGGCTGTCTCAAATGTAGTCTAAGAAAATGTAAGATGCAAGCTTTGTTTGTGATAGCTTTTGATTATTATTTTTTCACTATTTAAAAAAAATTATGCTATAAAACTATGCAAAAAGTATTAAAAAAATATCACAAATGAAACCTTAACCTTTTATAGTTCACAAAATTGCTCACTAATAAATGAAATTGATTGGCAAGGAAAAATTACTCAATAAAATACCATCCCTTGCAATTCTTTAGAAGAAGAAAAATCCTGAAATAGAGGACAGAATTCATAAAAATTCATAAGAGCAAAACATAAGAACTCTTAATTTAATAATTTTACTGAAATAGGGTGCACATATTCCCTATTACAAATAGGATTATAAGTGAAGAAAAAATAAGAGGTGAGAGTGTTGTCTAGTGATAGAGAGAGAAGCTATGATTCTCTCCCACGCCTAGGGTTTTTTATTTCCACGCTCCCTTGTTGCCTTCCACCCCTTTCGGGGAGGACTCCATCGGGGATGTCCTCCTCATTTCCCCCTGGATTGGAAGCTTCTTCTTGCATCCCAATCCCAAGTGTCCACCGAGTTCTCCTCGCTTTCTCATGTCCCAACTGCAAATGCCACAGCCCACTTCACCATACCTCAGTTTGATGCCGATGCTCTGGAATGGGCACTTTCCTTGGTCGGTTACTCCATTGGATGAATAACTTTTTATGAATCCCTCATCTCCACAATCAAACGTACCTGGACCCTGAAAGGTTCTCTTTCCTTGCTAACCCTAGATGATGGCTTCTTGATCCTCAAGTTTATCGTGGTTGGAGACTATGAAATGGCATGGTCAGGAGGGCCAAGGTTCTTCTTCGACAAGCCTATCATACTACAAAAATGGACACTGGATTTTGTTCCTTTCCGTGAAGAATTTCCAAACATTCAACTTTGGATCAATATTAAAAATTTTCCCCTTTCCTGCTGGACGCCAAAAGGAATCTCCAAAATCAAACTCACCTTTGCCTTGCCAAAGTCTGTGTTCAAATGAGCAGCTCCACCCCTTTTCCCAACAAAATTTACATTTTTGTGGATGTAAAGATTACTCCCCTAACCATTCTCTACGACGGGAAACCACTCCTTACTCTCATTGTGGCTCTATTATACATCCCCCAACAATTTTCCCTAAAACTCCACTTCTCCTGCCCAACAACCCGTGCGTCCCTGAGGCAGAAGCACCAACCAGAGGCCCTGAATCACTTCACCCCCTCGCTTATCTATCCTAAAACCTCCTTTAAATTCATCTCCACAACCATCCCCTACTATAACATAGCCCCCTCCCTCCTTGGCACCAAATTTCTCCACCTTAGCCTCAACCCAAACCATTATCCCAAATCTTAACTCCCCATTAGATGATGTTACCCCAGCTCAGCCGACTTCCACTCTAATACCACTACCTTATCAAATACCCCTCTTCAATGCTCACATTCCCAATCTAATAACCCCTGTCACCACTGATTTTCCCAAAACCCTCCAATTCCCACTAAAAACAATTTTTATGCTCTCTCAGATCAGCAAGAATGTCAAAACACTACCTTTAATGACCACTCTTACCCGGATGTTTTGGATGGTCATAACCATCACAAAGAACCAGGCCAAACCTCTCAATCACAATAATTGTTTAAAATTCAACAAATCTTTGAACATACAAAACCTCAACCCATGAGTAGCAAAACCACAAGAGCCAAACATGTCAATAATGCAACCACCCCCACATCCAAATCTCAATGACCCTTTATCCTATGGGTGCTTGGAATATTCATTGGTTTAATAGCCCAACAAGGTCCTATGCTGCAGGCAATTTATCAGTAAACAAGTTAGATCTGATGTTTATTTTAGAAGCCAAAATTTATCTTCAATCGGGCGCTCAACCCTGGTTTACCTCCACTTACTATGTTTTTAGTAATTAAACCTCCTATGACAATTTGCTTAATCCATGATGGCCGATGGGGACATCAGAGCTTGGAAATTCTATTAGAGACGTGACCGTAGATCTACGGCCATGATTGAGTTGATGTACTTCTGAGTTGTATTATGTATTTTCTTTTTTATTTTATGTTGTATTTGTTTTATTAGTGTTTCCCGCTTTTACCCCTTACTTAAGGGAGGTCGTATATAAGCCCAGAGGGCATCGTTGTCATTTTATTTTCTTGAGTCATTTGTACGAGACTATATATAGCCCCTTGTTCTCTTTTCATGTTAATGATTGAATGATAAAATTTTTTCTTGCTTGATTTCTTTGTGAGATCTTGAGAGTGCTTGAGAAAGAAATCCCTAGGAGAGGGAAATCGAATCACCCATCAACCTTGGAGACTATCGGGTTTCGTGATTCTTCTTCATTAACTTTTTATCTTCCTTCTTTCATCCCCTAGCCCCCGGCCAAGGCCTTCCCCAAACCCTTAGCTGCCGACCACTTAAACCCCCACCACCACCCGCCGCCTAGACCCAACCTGCCACCCCCATCCACGGCCAACCACCACCGCCGGCCTTCCCTTGGCTCCTCCCTCCATTCTCCACGTTCCACCAAATCTTTCCTAAATTAGATTTCATAATTTTGGTAACTCTATTAATGATCAAATTCAAATCAATTTAAATTTGAAATAATTACCTAATTTATAAATCCTATTGTAAGAAACCTACTAAATTAATTCCTATTTAAATTTTAAATTAAGAGAGGATGAGATATTTCTTTACAAACTTAATTTAATAAGCATTGAATGCCCCATCAAACTCTTCCCTCCCTTAATAGTTGTCGGCCCCCCTTGTGGTTTGAATTAGGAATTGTTTCCTAAAATCCCACCTCTTTCTTGGAAACAATTCAAACTCTCTCCCCTCATCCTTGGCAGAAATTCCCATTGCTCCTCTTATTTAATTTCTTTTCAAAGGAGAACCTCTCAGTTTGGAATTAACTTAAATGCCCCTCCCTCTCACCCTTGTCGCCGGCCCCTCTCTCCCTTCCCCTTCCTTGATTATTTCAATCAAGGGATCTAGAAAGAAGTTGTTTGAACTAAATTTCCCTCCACTTAAATCTCATAAAACCTGAACCAAAATTCCCCTAGCCCTTCCCCCTTGGCCAACCACCTTCTCTTACCTTCTCCTACTTGGATTCTTGAGAGAAACCTCTCTCTTTCAAGGGGAAACGACAAGGACATCAAAGGACCACCTCCTACAACACTTTAACGCAGCTATATCAATGCATGGTCGATCTAGATCTTAATTACGTCATTGCCTACTACGAGCAAGGTTTTGTTGACATTCTTCACTCCACTTTCTTTGACGTTAATACAAATATTGACCACATTGTCGAGAAATACGTGGAGCACATTCTAGATGCTTTCACCGAAGCCATAGAGGAGCAACTTGGTGTCGTTCAATGGTGGATTACGTCTAAACCTTGACAAAGGTCTCCCAATCTTTCTACTCTTATATTTTCGTAGTTCAACTCTCTCTTATGGTTTGATTTGATTCATAAAGGTCTTGTTCCCCAATCTCTGCCAAGCTTAATAATCGTAGGAATTGAGTTTAGCTTTCTATATTTCTAATTTCATTGTTAGAATAGGGATTTTATTGAAAGCTACTTAATTTGCATGCTATTGAAATTCTAAATTATTTTGATAATCCAAGCATTTGGCATGTGACTTGGCCTAAGCGTAGTCACCCCTCTCACATTTTCTTTTATCATTTTGATTGCTAAAAGTTTTAATCTTAATTATTTTATTCAATAAATCATGGCATTCATCTAAAAGCATTGTAGTCCTGCATCACTCCAGTCCTGGAAGAATTTGAGTTAAGTGGAATGCCCTTAAAGTGAATATTGAGCCTTTATTCCCTTTTAGTCAGCTAGTTCATGGTTGGTTTCTTTGAGACTTAACATTGCTTGCTATGTTTCTATTGTCTTTGCCTCCAATTCTTTTGAAAAGAGACAACTCCTCTGGAAACAACTCTCTGATTTGGCTAGCAATATTAATATTTTCTGGATTATTCTGGGAGATTTTAACTACTGTAGATTTCCTCATGAGTTATCTTCGGTTGGAAATTATTTCACCAAGTTTAATAAGAGAACTGATAACCAGATACACATTAGATTAAACAGGGTGCTTATCAATGATGCTTGATTTGATACTTACCTCAATTCCTTTTGCAATGTTAGATGCCCTTAAATTTTGGATCACTCCCCCTACTTCCTCCAACCTTCTCAAAAATTTTGGATCACTCCCCCTACTTCCTCCAACCTTCTCAACCCCTTAAACTATTACTTGGCTCAGATCCAAAGAAAGCCTATTGACTCTAATTTAAATGTCACTTCAAAGCCATCAATATCAAGCTTGCGGATAACAACTTAGCTTTGTCTAATTGGATTGCTCAAAGAGCAAAAGCTAATTGGCTTTCGTGCGGGGAGGATGATTTAAAGTTTCTTTATTCTAGAATTAATGCTAGATACAATGCCAACCTCATTAAATCTATTACTATATTTGATAGTGTTCTTATTGATCCTCAAGACATTTGTGACGCCACTAGACAAAACTTCATAAAGCTTTTTAACACTAGCACCCAGCCTCCATCCGTCTGCAGCCAGATTCCCTGCGGTGGCAAGATTCCTCTCAATCTTATTCATGTCTTGACTACTCCTGATTATGTGGAAAAAATTAAGGCTATTATATTATCATCACCCTCTACTTCCTCCCCGGCTCCTGATGGAAACACCTTTGAATTCTATAAATCCACTTGGAATACCATTGGGAAACAAATTTGTGAAGTGGTGTTGTCATTCTTCTCTACTGCCTCCATGCCTAAACAAGTAAAAGCCTCTACCATTGCCTTAATCCATAAAAAATCACGCTACTAGTATCTCCGATTACAAACCTATTTCCCCTTACAATACTTTTTACAAAATTGTGGCTAAGATTTTTGGCAAACAGGATGAAAAGGATAACGCAGTTTATTATTCATCCTAGTAAAACAATTAAAGATAAATCTATCTATGAAAATATTATTCTGGCAACTGAGCTCTACGGTGAATTCAACTTGAAAACAAGCAACAAACTCTTTTGCACAAAATTTGACATCCACAAAGCCTTTGACCCTGTGTCTAGGGACTTTCTGCTTAAATGTCTGCTTGACAAAGGTTTCCCTCCAAACTTTATTTCTTGGATTAAAGGGTTCATAATTGATGTCTATCGCCATGTCTCTATTAATGGAGCTTTGGAAGGCTTTTTTATTCTTTTTCAATTCTTATACAAAGGTGCCCATTTTCCCCTTATCTATTTAGTATTACTATGGATGGGCTCTCTTCCTTATTTGAGGAAGCAACTTCTAACAACTCCTTTCAAGGGCTCACAAATGGAAACTCATCCATCTCTCACATGCAATATGCCAATGACTTGCTTGTGTTTGGAAAAGCGACCATTGATAATGCACATGCTCTTAAAAAATTGCTATCCAATTTTGGTGCCTTCTCGAATTTACAGGTTAATTATGAGAAAAGCTTTATTTTAAACACTAGGCATGAGTCTGAGGAGCAAGCTATATGTAACATTCTTAATGCCACTCCATGTCAGAACCCCATTAAATATCTTGGTCTCCCTATTTTTACTAGGAAGCTGCATATTTTTAATTTTTAGCCTTTTAATGCAAAAACTGCATTGTTCTTTGGACGGCCTGAAAGCAAAAATTCTCTTCTTCGCCGAGATAATTCAATATCTGAAATTCACTATATGCAACTCTTTAGCCTACCGGATTAGAGGAGCGATTATCCCAAAGGCTGTTGTAAAACCATTAACAAGATTTGCTCTAGATTCCTTTATTTTGGAGACATTGATAAGAGGAAACTCCACATGATAGCGTGGAAAGACACTTGCATGCCAAAACAATTTTATGGCATCGAGATAATTTTCATTGTTTCCCTTTATCAACTTTAAGTTGTTCTCTTATTTGAAGGTTTTTTTAAAATATGATACCATTTTATTTTATTGGTGGAGGCTAAATACTTTTCCGTTTGGAATACTCCCTCTCCCCACACTTCTGCTTATTGAAATTTCTTATGTGGCTTGTTTTGGAAAGTGCAACACGGTTTAAGAATCAATGTTCTGAGCAATTATACTCTCTCTCTCTCTCTCTCTCTCTCTCTCTCTCTCTCTCTCTCTATTGTGGGTTCCCTGGTGCAACGACAAGTCATTAATGAAAATTTTGTCTGATTTATCCATGGAAAAATAAAGTCAAAATTTTTTTCATTTACAGGACAAGAGTTTAATTCTTAATGGATTTTGGAATCTCCCCTCTGCTTTACCTCCTCCCATAGCCTCTGATATATCCATTATGCTTATTTTTGAGGATGGGTTGGCTTGTAACTGGCTTCACATGGACAAACCTACTTTTAAGAATTTCATTTTGCAATTATATGATGATTCTCCTAAAGTCTCCTGGCATAGCTTTATTTCACACAAATAATATGCTCTTCGTTTTTCTGCCCATGCTTGGCTGGCCTTAAAACTGGGTTTGAAAATTACATATGCTCTTATTTTGAGGGGGTATCCCTGCAGCACCTAATTATATCTTTTGCTCATTTGCTTTTGAAAGTCGTTCCTGTTAGCTTTTGCATCCCAACCTCAACCAAACTTTTTCTCATATTGAGAAAATAGTTGTCGGTAAACAATGGAAAGAATTTTACTTCCTACTGATTTATGCTGCCATCTACTTTATTTGGAGAGCTAGGAATAATAGATTATTTGGGAACACTTTTGAATGTTATGCCACGGCCACTGCCAAAATTAAGAGGGCTGTTAACTATAGAACTTTAAAATGGAAGAGCTTTCACTCCTTTCAGCATTTGCTTCTTTTAAATTGTGCTCCTTTTTGGGTTTTCTATATTCGACCATATCTGATGCATCTCAATTTTTTTTAGATCTTTTGATGTTTTGTTCTTCTCAGATTTTATTTTATGGATGCCTTACAAAGGATCCTCTGTGGCTACCGGGGTGTGCATCTACTCTTCCGTGTCGCGCCAGAGATGTTTTGGATGGACCCTGATGAATATTAATGCTCACCAGCTTCTCCTTGAATGGTCTTTCTCGACAACCAGGAGCCTTGATCCTCTTCTTGATTGTTGGTGGTTCACGTTTTGTTGAACATTATGAGGCATATTAACTTCCAATTTTAGTTTTGATTAGTTTGTTGAGTTTTTTTCTTTTTACACCTGTAAATTTCTTTTACATGAATAAAATAAGCTAATGCCCCAAAATTTTCAAAAAAAAAAAAAGATTACAACTGAATAATTGCACTCAATAGACATCATCTAAGGCTCATGTAAATTAAGTTATTTATAAAATTAAATAAATATGAGTAGAACTTTAAAAGCTCATCAAATAAATGAATAAGCTTACATGCAACATTTTATTCCATTAAGCTACTTGTTTAACAATTGGGCTGGCAAAGATATTAAATCCAAATGTGTAAGTAATAAGATTTATATTTTAATCACTAGTATTTAAATTACAACTAATTCTAAATAAATGAGGACCACAACTCAGCAATGGACCCCACAACTTTAAAAATAAACCACTAAAGAACTCCTGGACCCACATTTCCCAATAACTACCAATAAGTTTCAAGGAAATCTCATCTTATCCACTCGCCCACCACACTCCTTTCTCCTTCCTATCTCTTTTCTCATAAAACCCTATCACAGAAGGCAAAATCCCACTCCCACTCGGTCTTCCTTCTCCAACTCTTTCTCTGATACCAGATATGGCCGCCATGAACTCAAGCGTTTTGGCTTGCAGCCACGCCATCTCAGCCTCATCCATGGCCGGCCTCAAGCCCAGCTCCACCTCCGCCCCATCAGCTTCAATAAAATTGCCTTCTATAAGAGCCCAGAAAGCTCAGTCTATGGAAACGAAGGAAGCAGGTGAAGGGAGAAGGGCGGCTCTTGCCGGCTTAGCTGCCGTCGTCTTCTCCGCCTCCGCCTCTTCAGCTAACGCTGGCATCATTGAAGAGTACCTTGAAAGGAGCAAAGCGAATAAGGTTGGTTATAAAGCACTGGAAGTTCTGAAGAAACTGTAATTCAGTATATTGAAGTAATTGAACTGTTTTTATATGGTTTTGTGCAGGAATTGAATGACCAGAAGAGGTTGGCTACCAGCGGTGCAAACTTGGCACGTGCGTACACTGTGGAGTTTGGCACGTGCAAGTTCCCAGAGAACTTCACCGGGTGCCAAGATTTGGCTAAGCAGAAGGTTTGACTGATTAGCTGCCAGATTAACTTTACTACTCTGTATATAAATTTTTATAATACAAACTGAATGTTTAAAGGGAATAATTATGGCAAAAACAATGTGCTATGAGAATATTTTTATAAATAAATTTTAAAAAATTATAGGGCTGTTTTGTAGTGCCCAAGATTTGATTTAAGTAGGATTTCGTAAATCCTCTAAATCCGGATTTCAGAAATCCTAAGGGGCCTAAATCCTAAAAACTGTTTGGTAACATTCATGATTAATCCTATTAAATCCCATATGACTCTTTGGGTATAGAGCGGATTTAACGAGCGGACTCTTACTCTTGAGCCAATGGGTTTCATAAATCCGGCAAAAAAATAGGATTTTGGAAATCCGGGATTTAGTATGAATAGGCGGAATTTTCCGTCTACAGCAACTTTCATTTTCCGTGAGATATGATTTTGCATTTTAGGCCGTTTGGCTGGATTTCGCTTAAATCCGTCTCAAATCCAGCCAAGATACTGCTACCAAACAGCCCCATAGGGTCAACACAAATACTTGGGAAAAGCTGATGATGATGATAATGATTATTTAAGTACTGCTTATCTTATCTTCCTGCTTTCAATGATTAAAATGAATGAAATTGTTGTGATAATGCAGAAGGTGAAGTTCCTCACCGAAGACTTGGAATTGGAATGCGAAGGGAAGGATAAGTACAAGTGCGGATCGAACGTTTTCTGGAAATGGTGAAATGGACAACAAAACTTCTAAATCACCTCATATTTGTGCATGCAACGAGTTCACTTTGAAAGTTTTAGATTCCATTCACCTTAGTTTCCTCCTTTTGTATTTCTGTGTTGGCAATTCCCTGCATCAGATGAGTAGCAATAGAGTAACTTTTCAAACACCTAATGGCAGTTCTACGGAAATACTTAAATAAAAACTTTGTAAATTCATTAGTTTGGAAAATGGATGATGCTCTTGAGGAAGGGAGGCGTTTTCTGTTCTTGGTGATAAATTAATCTATATATTTTTGGCTTGGGTTCTACCATTTGGTTGGTGGTAGATTTCAGGCTCAGATATTGCAGTTCCATATATGATCACTGTTTTGGGATTTCTATGGATGGGTTCGGCTATTACTAGCCATTAAGGGGCTGTTTGGTAGCAGGATTTACGTCAGATTTGAGTCGGATTTGAGCGAGACATTTTTTAGGATTTAAGTCCCTCAGGATTTCCGAAATCCGGATTTAGCGGATTTATGATATCCTACTTAAACCAAATCATGGGTGCTACGAAACAGCCCCTAAATGTTAAGGGCTTCCACCATTTATTATCCAGTTGCAATCCTAAAGTCGGGTTCGCTTTTATAGGAAATTGCTAAATGGGGGCTACTGTTATCAGGTTCAAATTGTGGATTTCACCCTAGTCCGAATGTTTGAAATTGGAATAGTTTTGCAACTTGAATATTGAAAGAACTAGAAGCAAACAACTAGTTTTATATCTAATATATCAACTAAACTAGGGAAAAGGAGTTCATAAATATATGATTTGAGGCATACAATTTGATATCTTTGATTCAATAAAAAATGGTTTCTTCATCCAATTTTAATCTTGTGTGCGTGAGTTGGTATGAGTGCCACTACCTAATTTTAGAAGATGTCTACTACTTAAACTGACATGAGGCATGAAATTATTTATTGGTGAATTTTTTATGCATTCCGTTAACTTCAGCTTCAATTTCTATGATTTTTTATGCAATCCATAATGGTAGAATCTAGTGTGATGTGATGCCCATGGATGTTGCCCATATAAATTTGGATTAGACCTACATTATATGATTGTCATGATACTCATATTTTAGAAGATCCAATATATATGCTATCAAAACTAACAACAGAAGGATACTTTCAAAACCTATAAAACCTAAGAGTCAAGTGCTTCTAATGATGTGAAAAACCCTCCGCAGATTCTAAGGCGACAATCCTTTGAGAAAAAGAGTTAGTAGAGATTATGATGCTTGATGATGATAAACAACCATTGATTGATTTTAAATATATTGGTCATGTTGAGCTTCCAAATGAATTACCACCATTTAGGGATGTATGTGATGGACCGGTTCACCCGGTCCATCCACCCGGACCCATGAGGGTCTACGGGTGGACAAGGATCCTAGACGGCATGGCATCAAAGAAGGTAGAAGTTTTGGAGGGGGAAATGGGCCAATTGAAAGAGGAAGTGGGTGAGAAACTTTCCTCGTTGGAGGGAAAATTCTCAACCCTAGAGGAGAGATTTGGGGGAATGAAAGAGATGATCCAGAAATTGTTAGAAGCCCAAGTTGCTCCATCAAATCCGGAGGAAAAAGGGAAATCTCTGGTGACGAACCCTAACCCTAATTTTTCAATTAGGGAAGAAGGGTCTGGAGTGGGCGGACCATGGAGGATGGCCGGTGGCGGAATAGTGAGGAGGGTGGGATGGAGTGATTTGGTAGGGGTTTTGGGATGATATTAGGGAGCCATTAGGGTTTAGGGGTTTTTAGGCTTTTGGAGGCTTACTACATAGGCTCAGTGGGCCCTCACGACACACGGGAAGGGTGGCCGAATCAGATGGGGGGGTTTCCGGAAGGGAACCGTGCCACGTGGGAGCAGGGAGGAAGAAGGGATGACTATGGCATGGGCTATGGAGAGCTTCTCTTTTGAGGGACATTAGGGCAAAAACGAATTTGTGCAACCCTAAAGCGTATCAGCATGCTGTTGATTGGATTCTAGATCACCAATGCTTAAATTCTTTTATTAGAGGATGATCCAATAGAGCATGTTGAACTTAACAGGTTGGCTGGTGGCTTAAGAAGAATCATTGCATTATACTTACTTTGCTTACACCCAAAAAAGAAATGAGTTGGCATATATGGATGGTTAAGTCATCAATAAAATTAGTATTAAATACAAGTTTCTTATACCTCATTTGAATGATATGCTAGAAATAATAAACGATGATATTATATTTTATAAGATTGATTTGAAAAATGGTTATTATCGTTATAATGAGGGGATATGACAAGTGAAATTTTAATTTAAGACAAATAATGAATTATATGAGTAATTGGTGATGCCTTTTGCAATTGAAATATATCTATTACTTTTATAAAGATAATTAATTATAATTCACAATAATTAATTGGAATATTTTTTGTTATTTACTTTGATGATGATCATATTAAATAGAGTATATCACTTGTAAGAATTTGGGTGCGATTTACTCAGACTTGAATAATAAGTCATCTATGATTAGCTAAGGATATATAATTAAAAAAGATTAGATATTTAAATGTGCTTGTAATGCATCCCTCATTCATCTTTGAAAAACTTATTTCATTTTAGAATTATATATAAGAGGTGTTGCTGGACACTTTAGTAGAGAAGAACATAACAATGACTAGCAATAGACATTTCTAGCCATGTTTAAAAAGAGACGTGGCGATGCTTCACAATGTACTCCTTAGTCTGCTAAGGGTAAGAAATTGATAGAAAGTGTATGCATAAATTTAGGAAAAGTCTTAGTTGAAAATTGATTTCAGCAATTTCAGAAAACCCAACAACAATAAAATCATGTAATAGAAAACACAAGAATATTTTTTTTATTGCAAGTGGATCTCCTCAATTTCATTATGTTTCTGCTTCCACGCTTGATCAGTTCATTTCCTCTGCCGCTCACACACCTCGCTACCTTCGATTCTTATGATCGAAGACCTCAACCCTACGAAACCTCACGTCGAACTTCCATGTTCAAATCCCTTCACATCCGCTCGCAAGCTAAACTCGCATCCTCAATCTGCTTGATCGAACTAGCTCTCACATTCGTAGCTCCTCCGACCTCAATCAAACCGTGGGCCAGCCGTTTGAGTCCCTCAACCTCACGACTTCAGTCCTCTCTACCGAACAACTTCAACCAATTGAACATCCCAGCCGCTTTTGTTTCTAAGTTGATCCCTCCCTCTTTGAAATTCATCTTAGAGGTTGCAAACCATAGAAATCCTTTGAACATTTGGTGCTCAAAATAGCTTCTTCCTCAACCATCAACCTCTATCCATTATTTATTACCTCACGCGAGCAAACGAACCTAGACGAACCTCAATCCAACCCATATGTAATTCCGACTTACCCACTGTGCCAATCGACACAGTCGACTTCCACCTGTTAGGATTTAACGGAGACACAAAAAATCAATTCGATCGTTTCCGAAAGACATGCCAAATCATTAAGAAGAATTTTCAGAAGCGTACATGAATCCATTGAAATGCAGATCAAGATCTTTCGATCTTCCATGTTTAGAGCGGCGTTCTCCAAAAGAGCGAGAGACTTTCACTCAAGATGGGAAATGAGGGAAATGACTGGGGACCACGATCTTTTTATACTTTAAGTGTATTTATTTTATTTCAGCCCGTTATTAAAATAAAATAAATATCTGGCCTCTACACAAATTAATTCCATACAAAACTAATTGAGATGCCACATAAGCCAAATAATAATTTAATACTTAAATAGATCACGAATTTAATTGGCTTAATTTTAGATAGCTTATAATGTACAAAATTTTATTTATATGTATAAATTTATGGGCCCACTTATAGAAATTTCTCAACACCTCCTCCCAGCTTACGATCGAACTCCCGTCGAGCTAGATAACTCCAATCCTAGCCACTCAATAGCCTGCCCGATTCGACACATCAAGAGTTCTCCCGTTCGTCACTTCTTGCTCATGCAAGCCTCTCGTCAATTGTCGGAGCCACACACAGCCAAGTGTCCCGATCCTTGCCCGATCTCGCCTCTACCCGAGTGAATCCATACCCGACACCTCAGCTAGTGCGAACCGAACCCGAGCAGATCCCTTTTCCGAAGCCACAGTCAGACACCCACGACCTAGCCGCCCAATCCATTGCCTGCCTGGACCCAATTACCTTCATACTTACCTGGCTGATTCCTTCCGATCCGCCTCCAATCTCCACAGCTCACAAGCCTCAATTTTTTACCTCCATCCTCCTCCACCCGGACGAATCCACTCAATCCACTACAGCCAAAAGTCACACTTCATTTGCACCCCAATCTCTTTAACCGAGATTTGTGCCAATCTCCATATATAGCCAGCTAGCTGTTGGCCTATCTGAACTCGCCATCCAATCCTTCAACATCAACCCCAAACAAAACCAATTCACAACCAAACAATAACCCTTCCTTTCTTTTCTTTATTTACTATTAATCATTATTATTAATTAGTATCATTAGTTAGCATTGTCATTATCCTTTTATTATTATTATTATTATTATTATTATTATTATTACTATCTAAAAAAAGAAGAGAAAATAAAGGAAGAAAACAAGAAAATTAAAAAAAGAGAAGAAAAATACAAAAAAAGAGAAAATGAAAGGTGTGCCTCAATATTTGTGCTCATCGTCGTCGTTGCTTCGAAACCATCATCATTGCTCGCGCGAAGGTATAATGATTTCAAAACTTAAAAAGCCCAAAAAATTCTATTTTTGGCGCTTGTGGTGCATTGGGAAATCACATATACACACTTTTCTCTAGCGTGGTGGGAGGGAATCAGGTGGGAAGCTTGGGGCAAGGCGCGAAGGCATTGTACATGCTTTTCTCTTGCGTGGCGGGGGCAACTTTAAATACATGTATATGTGTTGTCGTGCATGCGGGAAATAACTATGTTTCAAGCAAGTACCTTGAAGATCCATACACACCTTTCTCTAACATGGTGGATTGAAGAGCATGACCGCAATGTCAATCGACACCTACCAAATACACTTTTCTTTAGCGTGGTAGCAAGGCCCAACTCCTGAAATTTCTCCTAAACATGTGAGACACCAAAAAGCTGCCGAAATTCAGAGCAAATAGAGGACCTGGACTTAAACAAAAATATAATAAACTAAACTTTAAATTGATAAAAGGCACGATCAAGATGAAAATACAAATGATGAATAATAATTTTGATCATCTAATTGAATATCATTGAATAAACAAGAGGTAAATGACTAGAGAAATTCTCAACGCGTAATTTGCCCATGAATGATGAAATTAAAATAACCTGTCATATACAATCAACCAATCTACAAGCAAGGCCCAAGAACCTACAGTGAACATAGATTCTCATGAGTGTATGTAGGGGACATGTAGTGACCAAGATAATTGGCTTACAAGCATGAGTGAAAGCTTATAACACACACAATAGTCCATTTACAAGTCGTCACGAGGAACTTGCGAGTGTTCATAGGCGATAGAAAAAGATATGTAAGTGATTACAGTAACTTCTCAACCAACAAATGTATGGAGATCAATAGTGAATGCAGCTCATTAGCGATAAAAAAAATAACATGCAAATGAGCACACTATCTTATATGTACATGATAATGCTAGATATGTTGTGGGAATGGCGGCTATTCTACAAATGTATCAAAGGAGACCGTGACAAATGCAATAGCACATTCACGAGCAAAGTAGGAGAGCCATGCACCATATAAGACGTCTTCACAGTCAACATCAATCAAGCATCTGGCAGATGCACAAGTCCCCTTCAAGTAGCGAAGTTTGATTTGCAACGTACGAAGAATGCAAACTTACATAGCGCCGCATATGATGAATGTGAATATCCTTTGACGATAACAAAAGATTTACCGTATGCATAATAGTACGTTTATGAATGATAATCAGCAATAGGGAGTGGATGTTATAACACCTTTGCAGTCAACATCCTTTTACAATGAGTACACTGACTTACCTACAAGCAACAATGGAGAATATGCTACAAGCATGATGAATTCCCTATGAATATAAGAAGGTATACAATATGCTACAAGCAAGGTTAGGAAACCTGCGACGAGTGTGAGTACCTACAAGCAATACAGGAGGATGTCAGATTGAATACGATTCACCATTATACGATAGTGGATGACTTCTTGATATCTAACAAAACTCGTGATGTGCAATAGCTCACTCGTAAGAGGCAACAAGTGACCCATAAATCAATGTTACAATTCACTTATAAGCAGAAGCATAAAATTCATAATAAAAACTGTGGGCCACTGGTGAACTGAAGCAATAAACTTACGGCATCAGGCTATCACACCAAATGAATCAGACTGCTCGCAAACAGTAGGTGGAAGACTCCTGATGCGTCGTATAGCATATCTGCCAACAGAAATACGCTCATGCAGGTTGAATATCAAATAAGATGAAGATATGCAGAAGTTGAAATGAGCTAAACTGCATTGTCATTGCACGACAGATGAAATTCAACGCGTTGATACGCCACGCCACCGGATCCTCAACACTCATACAAGCGAACATAAGGCATCTATGGGCTTCTAAATAGAACATTGCACATACTCAAATGACAATCATTCGCATAGTTGATTAGTGTCAGGCACTTCAAAAATGCCCCTCCATGCATTGAAATATGATTACCCTCATGGGCCTCGACGAGCATGATGTACGCATACACGCGACGTCTAGCAATATTACGCGGGTCAAGAAATGAATCTAAATTTGAGCTCAATCCTTCTATATGAATAGATAGGACTCAACATAACTCAAACCATCAAATAAATATAAAGTCGCAGTATCAACTAGTATATTTGTTTTATACGTTCATATTAGGCCTTCAAGGTTTATTAAAAGAAAGATTCGCTAATAAAGTTATAAAGCTGATAACGAACCCCAATCCTTTTGTCAACAAGTCAACAGAGTTGACAATATTCAATCAATAATATGAAATTACACATAATAACCCCAATGATGGCCGTGTGTTAACCTCTGTATAAATCACACAAAAAAGGAAAGAAAGCAAGAATACCCACATACCTCTGCCAAAACCCCGCCGAACTCCTGCTTAAATCCCGTTGTTCGGCGCAGTATGCATCGTATCCCGAAAATCATGTGTAAATCCTACCAAATTGCGTGGCCTCCGTTCTGTCCCAGACTCCTATTCACGTTATAAAAGGAAGAGACGATGAGGCCTTTGGATCTTTCTCGCACGAAGCTCCATTTCCCTTCACCAAGCAGGTCTCCTTCCCGATCCCGTCGCCCTTCCCCTGTTCGTAAGCCAGAGAGAGAGAGAGAGAGAGAGAGAGAGAGAGAGAGAAAGCTTTCTTCCTTACCTACTTCGACCTCACGACCTCTTACCCGTCGTCTTCTCCGATTCTCAAGGCCGAACCCATGTCCGACGCCTCCCCTTGCCGACGCCCCCTCCGTCGCCTCCTCTCTTCCGCAATCCGCATTTGATTCTTGCCGCAAGCCCTAGCCAAATCAAACCCCAGATGGCCTCCTCACTCGATCAAGCCGAGCTCCGTCTTCCTCAAGATCTCGAAACCATCTCCACAAGCCCAAGTAGCTGAGCCCTTCTCCTCTCTACCGCAAGTGAGACCCAACCCGATGCCTTCTCCCTCTCTATCCCATTAATTATAACTAATTAAATATTAGTTATAATTAATACTCATTATTTACAGTTAATCAAAATTAATATTAATTATGATTCATTAATGGTACGAATAATTAATTATAGTTAACTATAATTAGTTATTATTTATAATTAGTCAGAATTAATTATAGAAGTTTGTAATTAATTCTAATTAATTATGTGTAATATATTATCATTAATTATAATTGACTATATTTAATTATAGTTAATAATTATTAACTATAATTAGTCTTAGTTGACTATAATTACCTTGATCTACGTGCCAAATTCACTGCTAGTCTATTTGCAAATGTATAACTCCTAACTTAAAAAAACCCTTCTCTCGTGGCTTGCGACGAGCTGACAAACCCCCTACGCACTTACGTAACGTAATAGGGAGGAAAATCGGCGCGGCGCTTGCGACGATCTAAAAAAATTTTCCTCAATGCTAGCGACGAGCCGGCAAACACCCTACGTGCTCATGTTACGTAGTAGGGAGAGAAACTGGCGCGGCGCTTGTGACGAGGTGGGTAATCCCCGGAGTGCTCATGTAGCACGAAGGGGATGAAAAATAAGTACATCTAAACACTCAAGTAGTGCAAAGGGAGAAAAGAAAATTGTGCTCTTTTAAACACGTACCTAAAGACCCCTAAACGCTCATGTAGCAGGTGGGGATTTAAAAAAAAAAAATAGTGCAACTGCGGTGTCATTTGACACCTACCTGAAGCACTCAAGTAGCGACGAGGAGAAGGTTGCCTCTTGGTTTTTCCCCTAAACGGGAGAGACGCCGGAGGCTGCAAAATTTGGACTAAAAATGCACAAAACTTGGACTAAATAGAATTTGAACTCAAAGAACTTAAAATGAACTTGAATGTGGGCCGAAGTATATGAGGACTTGGACTCAGATTTGAACTTGATTTATATATCAAGTGGACATGACTTGAACTTGCAAAATGAACAAGGACGTCAATTGAACATTTAAACTCAAGCAAATACTTGAGTTGGACTACAAAGAACCTGAACTTGACTTGAATAACAGAAAACTTTTGGACTCAAACTCAAACGAATATAAGCATCTGAATTCAAATGATAAAGGGCTTAAACAAATTTGTGCACAACTTGATTTGAACAATCATGCAAATTTTGAACTCAAAGAAACTGCATTGTACTCAAACTTGACAATGGAGCATATTTGATTTCAACTAAACTCGAACCTGAATTTGACAAGAACTACAGTAGACTTGACATTGAACATTCAAACTCAAATGACTTGAACAATTGACAAAGGACTTGATGACTTTAGACAATATTGCACTTGTATGAAGAAGGAAATTTGTGATGAGTATAGAACCTCGCACACAGTCAATGTTACTCAAGTGTAAATAAACACTAGACTCCAACAAATGACAATGATTGATGACATGAAGTTTCCCATAAAGATCAAGAGTCTTCATGTAAATGCCAACTAGCAACAACAAGGGTGTTACCAATCATGTCGTAAATCATAAAGCAATGTGACGAATAATTAATGATATGCTAGCTTGTAGATAAGTGCAATATGTACCTACAAGTCAACATACATGTTAGCATGCTAACTTGCTTAGGAACGATAAAGCCTCATACATGATATGCTTGTGGACACAAAGTGTGGGAAGTGTGTGAAAAATGTGGCGGTATTCCTACTGTTAGAGTTGGGCAATATGTAAGGATGTGCATTGGTCTCATATGAATGCAAAACTTAATATGCAAAATGAGTGAATATATAATTTGTAATGTATGCAACAGTCCGCCTACAAGTTATTACAAGGAGCGTGCAATGAATGTGACCGTTCTCTTATGAGCATGTATAAGGATTTGCAATGAGCAAACTTTCAGACATGAAACGTGCAAGTTAACATATATCAACAAACATAGAAATTTGATACACAAGCATCAGGTGACAAGTGATACAGTATATTCGCAAGCAAGGTGTGAAGGGCATTTAGCAAATGAAACAACTGCTTTACGACACTCCAAAAATTAGCATCAAGATACAAACAAGCATACTATCTACAAGCAAAGATAGCATACCTATAGCATGATGCACAGTACCTACGAACTGTTGTAGCATGGATACCGCAACATCTCCATAGCCAACAGTCATCCAGTGGAAGATAAATACACTCAACAGGTATGCAGCTAAGGTTGTGATATCCCTACGGTTGAGGTCGATTCACTTGTAAATGGATACAACCATTCCTTATGAGCTACGACAACCACCAATATTACTTATGGATAACAATAGTGGATACGTAGTAAGTGCAATAAATCCTCTGTGGACACAAGTACATATGTTCTCCGTAAGCAAAGATATAAAGATACGACACATTCAAATACTTATGAACCATCCTAGAAAGCCTCTCATGTATGCAAAGTTCCATCTACAAGCAAATATAGAGGACCTCTAATTGCAGTCAACATCTAAAGGCAAAAGAAGGAGATTCGTTAGTGCACTACGATCAATCTATAAAAATAACAAGTAGTGTACGACAATCTATGCACTACGATCAATCTATAGGAAGCAACAAGTAGTTCACGACAATCTAACAGTATAAAGCAACAAGTAACTTAATTCAGAAGCTGCTATTCTACACCACCAGATCTATAATTTGTATACAAGCAGACAGAAGATGTATACGAGCTTCCAAACAGAATGTTGTATTCAAATGGTGGTCACCCACATAACTAAGCAACATTAAATTTCCAAAAACGCCCCCGCACATGCATCGTAATTTGTATACACATAGGTACACAAAAAGGGTCAAGTACAATTATAACACCTGCATGGCTCCGAAGAGCGTGTTATTGGTACACATGTGACGTCAAGGGATGCTGCGCGGGTCAATAAATTTGAACCCGATCATCCTAAGCAGGTAAATAGGAGTCGAAAAAGTTTAATCAATAATTATAAAATACCCCCAAACCCTGCATGGGCCCCGACGAGCGTGTTATAAGTACACACATGATGTCTAGGGATGCTGCGCGGGTCAATAAGTGAATTCAAGTTCGAACCCGATCCTTCTATACGGATCAATAGGAGTTGACAGAGTTCGAACCATCAAACAAATATACGGTGCTGGCGACTGGTATATTTGTTTTAATATATTCATATTTTGCCTTTAAGGCCTATAATAATGAGAATTCACTAATGAAGGCCTAAAGCCTAGGAACCTGATCTCCTATCGACAAATTAATAGGGTTGACAAGGTTTAATATAAAAATAGAAATGACCCCACTATACCCCGATGATGACCGCGTTGAATGTTTATTACAACTGGAGGGGTGATTCGAACATTTTCTAATGCCACCCAAGTACCCAAAATCCAAAAATTCCAGATGATCATCAAAATACAAATATTTAAAATGAAAATCCAATCATTAACCACTTAAAGTAAAATCTATCCACCCTCCGCAATAATTTGCCGAGGTAAACAAATTGAAATATAACTTCAGCTCACATAGAGCTAAATGCCCTAGTCGAAAATATCACTAGGATCCATTCTCAAACAATCTCATGCCAGTATGGACGTGGTACGTGTTCTCTAACCAACGATTTTGCCGCCAAATGACACCGCAGGATAAACGGTTATGATCCGGAGCCCTCTGAACCGAGTGATTTTGCCGCCAAATGGTACCACGAAATATCAGTTATGTTCAAAGCCAATACACTCCTTAGTGTCATCAAATCATTGAGATATGAATCAATAAGATATGATCGATATGGCACAAAGCCCTCTGTTAACTAAGGTGGATTTAAATTTGTCCCCTTAGGCAAGTATTCACCCCAGGTCTACAAAGTTCCCTTGGACGAAGCAACCCATGGCTGCTGACAAGGATCCTTTTGTCAGGTTGGGTCGACTACCTTCTCTGACTAAGTAGACCAGGGACCACGATGGCCCGGGACGATGAAACCATGGGATCTTGATCGGGTCTATCATCCATTCCCCCACCATTCGCTTTAAGTGCAATATGGTGAAATTTCCCATTTTAAATATCAAACCTTTCCAAATGCTAAAATTCAAACCCAATTCCCAAATCCAAACCTATGATGCTACTATATGCCAGATACTACGTATCTAATTGATGACTAGCCTTAATCAAAAGTTCTCTCTCGTGATCGAGAGGGGTAATTAACTATAGGGGCTTACGCCTATAGGAAACCAAAACTCAGATCATATAGTCCTCACAAAATGAGGGCGAAATCTCTGGGTAGTGAAACCCATCTGCCTTCCAAAATTTATCCCGGAACTTAATTCCGTTAAAACTCCTCCCAAAAAGAAAAGCAATCAGGCGGATGCCGGGGCCGAATTTTTGGAGCCCGCAGATTTCTAACGACTCCACTGAGGATTGGTTTCTCTTTCCAGTAAGCACGTGACACATGTCATCTAACCAGTGATTTTGCCATCAAATCGCATCACAATTAAACATTTATGATCGGGACCCTCTGACTGGGTGATTTTGCCACAAAATGACACCATTAAATTTTGGTCATGGTTGGAGCCCGTATGCTCCGTAACGACGTTAAATTCTTGATTAATGAATCAATAGGATATAATCGATAGGGCACAAATCCATCTGTTAGCTAAGGTGGATTCAAATTTATCCGCTTACATAAACATACACTCTAGATCTACAAGGTACCCTTGGACGAAGCAACCTACAGCTGCCGACAATGATCCTTCTATCAGGTTGTGTCAACTACCTCCTCTAAATAAGACTAGGGACCATGATGACCCGGGGCGACAGAACCATAGGATCTTGATCGGGTTCATCATCATTTCCCCTACCATCCGTTTTAATCGAAAGTTCTCTCTCGCTACCAGGATGGGTAATTAACTACAAGGGCTTGCGCCTATAAGAAACCTAAACTCGTATCATAAAGTCCTCACAAAACAAGGGTGAAATATCTAGGTAATGTCTTATTCAAAATTCAATCTACCTTCCAAAAAATTGACTCGAACATACTCATTAAAACTCTCCTTGATGACCCAAAGGAAGAAAGGTGTCACGGAGAGGTTGGGCTAGCCCGAAGGAAGATCTGGCTCTCCTAAATCTCTAGCCGCATGCTAGAAGCCAAACACTCTAAAACATTCTAATTTCAACAAACAACACATACCTCTAACCCTAGGAAAATCACATATTTAAAGCAAACAATAAACAACAAATACCAATACAGTCCTCTCCCAATTTTCTCCTATTTCCTTAATTATTTCCCTACCCAAATCATCCCTCAAATCAACACCTAAATTTTATATCTTTAATTAAGAAATATTTCCTAATTAATCCCCTCCAAATTAACCCCCAAATCTGCCCTATTCAATTAGAAACATTTCATAATTAATCCCCTCCAAATCAGCCCCCAAATTCGCCCTCTTCACTTAGAAAATATTTTCTAATGAATCCCCTCTAAATCAGCCCCCAAATCAGCTCTCTTTAAATATGGAACATCTCCTAATTAACTCCTTTTGATTTAGAACCTTCCTAAATAACTCCATCTTGATTAGGAAATTTCCTAATTCTCTCCAATCAAATCGGTCGGTCCATCAGAAATATAACACAAGGTCATATAGAGCTTTGTTAATTCCATATAAATCATTTGAGTTTGTTAGTATAGATTTGCATTAGGTTTACCACAAACATTAAGACGAGTTGACTGTAAATTGCTTTTAAAAATGACTAATTTCATGTTGTCATGAAAATGTTGATGCATCTCATGCTGCTAATGAGATGATTAAATTGAATGGGTTGGTTAAAATAATAGTTTTTATCAGAATGTAAAATTCATTAATAATTTCTACTAAATTCTAGGGAAAAAGAAGACAACTTGATTTGGACAATATGCTGAATTTCTAGATAAAATAAGAACATGAAATAACAGATCCAAAATAAAAAAAAAATAAAAAAATCATCGCCTAATGCCAATACAAGAAGATGACTTCTCCCTCAATTAAGTAATTATACTCTTGTTGTAGTCAAAAGAATCACATATATAACTTGCAAACCTAAGAATGAAATATAAAAAGAGAAATTATTCAATTACAATTTTTTACATACCTCAGAACTTCTATTTATAGGCTTCTTATCTCCTAAATTAGCTGATATTGCTAGCATAATCCAAATTTAAATTAATTTCAAACATTATTTAGGTTACCCTATAATTCTTATCTATTAACGAATACCTATTAAAGCCACAAGCAATACATTTTTAAATCCCAAAGTCAATCATCAACTAAGCATGCCAAACTTTTTTGGTGTCCTCCCCACCCCCCCACAAAGTCAACCCAAGATTTTAATTTTCATATATACTAATTTGCAACTAAGAAAATTAAGTTTTTTGGTATTTAATTGTGTGCAATTTGCGCAATTCTAAATTTAATTGTCTGACCTACATAATCGTTCTAGTTGCATTAAAAAAATCTAACACAAGATCATCATCAAAGAGACTTCAAACTTTGATCAAATTGGATTGAAATTATGTTTTTGCTCACTTTAAAAGACTTAACTGATGACAACTCAAAAGGGAAAAAATGTATCTTAAGCAGATTCGATCAAAATTTTTGCATCTTCATCAACCTGGTATCCATCTCTTTATTTTATCCTCCCTTTTTCTTGCTCAATATATAGTTTATTTAAGGTTTCCCTTGCAGGCTGCCTTGTAAACAAAATTGGGCTTTTGTAACTCTTAATTTGTTTAAAAAATTAAGCAATTACTCTTCAGCTACCAAAAACTAAAATGCTTCTCCTGTATTTTTAATTTATTATCACTGCAAAAATTAATTTAGAAAAAATGCGTAAATTGTTATTTATGGTTACCCTTTTTTATAAGGGTATAATGATTTTATATTTAATCTTCTATCATTGCAATTAGGGACATTTAAAACCTTAAAATAATATTTTAATAGAATTATTTTTCTTTTTTTATCCCGGAAACATCCTTTCCAAATACTTAACACAATGAGTTATTTCCAAACATCACGTACATATAGCCTTTTACGTTGCATAGCCACCATCATTATTCATGTCGCTGCTGAAATAAGTGGTTATCTAACAACTAGCCCTACTAATATGATATCTCAGACAAGTCAATTAAGGCTTCGTTTAGGACGACTTTCTTACTGCTTCTTAAAATAATTTGTCAGTACAAATTTTTAAAATAACTGTTTTAAGAAGTAACAAGAAAGTCGTCACAAACGAAATCTAAATATATTCTTGCAATTTTCATTGTCAAGAATTGTCAAGTCAATTTCAATTTATTTAAATGCTAACCCGCTAAGTCTAGCTATCAACAAATACATGGCCAACAATGTTTTCTTTAGCATTAATGTATTGGTGAGCACATGCTGCATTCTTGGCCAATGCATTTAATTAGTATTAACTGGTAAACATTAATCAACAAAGACTAACTAGTCAGCCAATTCAACAGTTAATGTTGTTTTGAAGACCAATATTTGGTCAGTAATAGAATAATAAACACATACCTGGATTTCGTCAACTCAGCTTGGTAACAAGATACAGAAGATTTCCGGGGTCACGAAGACCAAGAATGCCCACTGCTATTATGCTGGGATCCCAAAAAGAATCTTCACTTCTATTTAAAGAGAAATGGAGTCTCTTGTAGTGAGTATGGAGGTGTCCATAGGACAAAAGCTGCAAAATCCAGTAATTAACTATCAGTATCATATCAGAAATGTATGCATTACTGAGCAGATGAATCCCTCAACTTGTATGTTAGACATGAACGACTGATAAGATGACAGCGAGCAGAGAAAAATATAGAGAAAAGGTAATTGAGGAGCGCCAATAGGGAATAAATACACTGTAATAATAAATTGTGATATATTTTGAAATAAGAATCAATGTTTCATTCAAAATCTGGTATCATTTTTCAGTATAAACCTATGAAATATATGAACGCCAACCACCAATCTGCTGACTAATTTAGCTTTTGCATACATGATAAATACTACTACTACACTAACTTTTTCTATATTGAAGTAGGAGAACATACAATAGAATATACAGAATGAATTTAAGATTTTAGTGCAAGCATTTGGATGAAGTTGCATTGCTTCTAAGCTGCGGGCATGGCGGTGGGAACACATTATAAGCTTCACCATCGATATGCTCACAGCGCCATTTTGTTTCATGGCGAATGGTACCCAAGTTAATATTTCTCAAACATAGCCCCTCAAACTTAGCGCCTTCGATGCCTTCAAGAATGGGAGCTTTCTCTGCGTCGATGCTGGTAACATTACTGACATGAATGATATTAACTTGGGGAAGGGCATTACGATCCCAACCCTCATCAGGATGGTCATCTGATCCCTGACTAAATCTTATAGGAACCTTGACTCTCTCCATCTTCACATTGGTTATGGTAACATTTGTGATGTATCCTCCTCGACCTCTGTCGGTTTTTATTCTCACCGCGGCCGCAGAGTCCCAGACATGCAGATCATCAACTAGAATGTTAGATATCCCCCCAGACATTTCACTTCCTATTCCTACGCCTGAGCAAGTTGGGGTTGTTCCAGAAATCCTTTGAATGATGATGTTCGAGCTAGGACGAGCAACTGCAACCCCATATTGATCCCAACCACTCTTCACAGCAACTAAATCATCGCCACTCTCAATGTAACAGTCTTCTATGCAAATATTTGTGCTTGAATCTGCAAATCATAGCAACCGACAAAATCAACCAGTTGAAGTAGCAAACAAAATATGATATAGGTTTATCATGATCGTGCTTTCATAAATTTGAAGGAATTGAGCTAATAGTCCTTCTAGGCAAGAATTGGCATTTAAAATGTTCCATTTCTGTTGGAAATGAAATTCTCTCTTTCTAGACCTGACATGTAGAGAGTACATCACCGTCATAAAAAATTATTTTTAACATGTTAGTTGTTATGTTAGTATTATGAAAAATTGCAATATAGTAATTAGAAAAAAAGTATACGAGTGAGACCAAAGTAATTTTCTTTAGAGCTTCAACAATATATTTTGCATATTGCAAATCTAAATGCTGAGGTCCATGGACCATGGGCTTCCTTGGCAGCTCTTTCCACAGAATTTTGCTTGGCAAAAATATAAAGAAAAACAGAGAAAAATCAGACATTAAGGGGATAGTTTTTACTTGAAAAGTCCGCATACCTGGATCAATTCCATCAGTATTGGGAGAGTGAAGAGGAGCCAAAACAGTAAGGTTCTTTATCACCGCATTGCTGAGAGGGTAGAGAAAATTAGCCAGATATTGCCTCCATGGGAGAGAAAGAACATTTCTGCATTGATATAAGAGACTTAAAGAAAATTACCTGCAATACACAGGGTGGATTGTCCAAAATGGAGCATTAAGGAATGTAAGATTTGATATTAGAATGTTTGTCGAGTTCACTAATTCAACAAGGTGGCCTCTTGTGTGTTCTAAAGTTCTGTTCCACCATAAATCCCACCATATCTTCCCTTGTCCATCAATACTACCATTATGTCCTGCAACCGATTACCATTCATGAGAATTTTTCTAATGATAAAGGCTGCATAATGTTATGATACTATTAAAATATTGTTGAGTTTTAATACAAATAAGCAATTTTGGTAATTGATCAAATGAAATACTCAACTATTTGAAGAACAAACGATGTTCTCTGTGCCTGCTAACAGCGAATTCAAAACAGAAGGTCCTAAGTTTCCATTTTGGTTCTAACAATTTACAGGCAATTAAACATCAAATGCCATTTATGTGGTGGCTTGTATCCAGATGTATTAATTCAAACTAGATATGCGTATTAGAAGCGATTCAACTTGAGCGTTCCCATGCATTAACTAATTTATATAAAGCAAGTCAGAGACTAAGGGCCTAGACAATAATTGATACAGCTTTAGAAAATTGATATGATAGAGCACTGATCTTGACATAGTTCTTAAATTTCAAAGTGCCATATGAACCAGAAATTTTCTAAATCAACTCGAAGACCATTTAAAATCTATTTTATCATACTTATAGTCAAAATGAACGCTTTAATGAGACAAATCGAACAATACTAAGAACACCTTGATTTGAGTACAATGAACATAAATTAAATACTTTAAAGTATATTTGAAAACTTCAAAAATCATTTGAAGGATCAAACATCATCCGATTCTTGCATACTTATAGTCAAAATGAGCAGCCCAACAAGAATAATCTAACAAGCAAAAAATTGCTCAATTCCAACATCATTGCGGCATTAAGATATTTAAAAAAGAATATATGATCAAGGTGAATCAATACGGACAATTTTGGGCAAAATATTTTAGAAAATTTGGCCTAAACAATGTGCTAACTTCACATCGCATATAATCATAATTGAGGTGAAATTATTTGGTTAATGACCCACAAGGAAGGTCCAAGTTGATCGCTAAGGGTTGTTCGTGCAATATGGTTTTCTTAAAATTGTGATTTGAGGTTGCAAAGTTTTAAAGACTAGATTATTTTTTTGACTGTTAGATTATGAAGTTCAAAAATAAAGGGGAAACAAATATTGTACTAAAAAAATCAATTATTGAGAAGCAACTTTTAGATCTAAAGTGCCATAGTACACGAACCATAAACTTTTAGAATCAGTTTTAAGGCTATTGAAACTCATTCTCAGCAAATTTATAGTCAAAATGAATGTTATAATGAGATGAGCTTAAAGATACCCAGGATTTTAAAAACCTAAAAGGACCGACCGGTCCAACCGATTCAACCGTAAATCAGACTTAAGGTCTGTCTGGTTCATCCTAAAAATCGTCTATACATCAAACTGGGCTGAACGAGCCAAACTGCCATTTTCAACCAGGGAACCGGTGAACCGGTCTCGATTCCATTAAACAAGCCGGTTCAATTTTTTATTTTATTAAATAATTAAATAAATAAATTTATTCAATTTATTTTTTAATCAAAAATTTATATTATTATATGATTATTCTATCATTTAAATTTTATTTAAATGATTTTCATATTTATTATGTCATCCAATACAATCTTGGTTCGACTCCAGCTAAACCATTAAACTATTAACCACTCTTTCTTTCGGTTCACAACCTTACCTTAATAATACCATGAATGTCTTGATTCAACTCAAAATGGATTTAAATTAAGCGCTAGAAAGTATAGTTGAAATTAAAAAAAAAAATCATTTATAGAATCAAATGTGGGCTCCAAAAATTTGCTCCACGACCTCTCCTATAAGGCCTCAACTTGTTCAGCACATCTGGTCTCCTAGTTCTCTTCACCGCTAATACGAGCAGAAACCCGACATCTAGAGCCATTGCCACGGGTCCAAATGCCAATGGCGCGAACATAACAAGCCCGTCGGAAATAGGCGTGAAATTCTGACCGCCTATTAGGAAACTACTAGAAGCAGTAATTGCACCGACACGGGCCGGCAAGCCATCAGTCACCGCCAGAAAAATGACTGACAGTATGAGTGAAAAAAGCACCATCGATGTGAAAATGGCAGCGATCGCCATCTCTAGATCTCCCACAAAGCATCTACGACATTTTCATGTGGGCAGAAATCTATTAAGAAATTTCGGCACAGAGAGAACGTCAGCTGAAGTTAAATTTAAGTTTTATTAACACAAGGAGTGACGAGCAGAAGAGTTGATCAATGGGAGTAGCTGCCATTTGCGAGATTCACAAGATTTAGGAGATACAAGGTCGAAGCATCTGAGGTAATTAAGTTTGATTTGATTTAACATCGTTTGACTTTTAATTTAATTAAATGTAATAATAATTGATTATTATAATAGGCATTATTAATTCAAATGACAAGAATGTGTCAATCATCCAAAATTGCTTCGATTCGCATGCATCTCCTCAATTTGCACACAATCATCCTGGAACTTGCACTAATTTGCAAGCGCAATTTTATTAGGCAAAATTAAGGTTGATTTTGGGTAATGTTGACGTTCTAGATGCAATGTTCAGTCTGTTTTATGATTGGACGTCGTTTGGATAATTTCGCAACTCAATTTCCTCAAGTTGTGCATCGTTTCCTCGGGACTCGTGCTAATTTCATTGCTCACATTGGTTATCATTTTTGGATATTGATGATATTTCAAACGCGATGGCAAAGTTCGTTTTGCTATCAGTCGTCATTTGGGCGGCGTTGTGTGTCAATTTCCTCATTTTATGCATCATCGCCTCGGGATTCATGTCGTCACCCCAAACAACCCCAATTGAACAGGTTGGCAGTGATTATTGGGTGTTGACGATGTTCCGAACACAACGGCAAAATCCGTTTTGTGATCGGAAGTCGTTTGAGTAGCGATGCATGTCATTTTCCTCAGTTTGCGTGTGTTTCTTAAGATGCATGTCGATTTCAGCAGACGATCTTAATTGAGCAAATTAATGGTCATTCTTGGGTATTGATGATGTTTCGGATGCAATGTCGAATTCCGTTTCACGATCGGACGTCGTGTGCGCTACGTCGCGCATCAATTTTGAGTGTCGGTCGTCCTTATAGACTAATCTCATCCAATTTGACTACGAGGGGTCTCCTCTAAGCTAGATTCGAAGTCCTGATTGCAATGGCTAGTCCGTTTAATAATCGGAGGTTGTTTGACCCTTTAAGTGATTCGTCGCGCCGATGCGCGCGTTGCTGAAATCGTCATTTTTGCCTATTGCCTCATGTTTTTGCATACAGGGGTCAACACCAAACTTCTCCCAAATCTTGCAAGCATATAGTAGAAACAAGCAATTCAACGAGAAAAATCCAATTGAGCTAAAAATCACTCAATTTTGATATCATTAAATCATTAAATTTTCTTTAAAATAGCATATGATTGAGAGGAATCAATATGGATCGTTCGATGGAGTATTTTAATTTTTGGTTGAAATAACTAGAATATCAATCACCATAAATCTATGAAAAATCCATCTTTCCACATAATCGAGGAAATTCGAATGAAAGTATGAGACCCCAAGAAGGCTTCTAGAAGAAATAATCTAGAACTATGTTAACCAAAATGTTGAGACCCATCATCACCAACAAGGTCAACTCCTACGATCAACTTCAAAGTTGATGCTTTTCGTCACCATCTAGGCTAATGCCATCTATATCAATGCTAACACTTGCCACAGAAATTTTTCATTGACGCCTTCATCATCAATAAGGTCCATTATCAACAATAAGTATGACAATTGTCATTGACACCAACACCGATGCCCATTATCAACAATAAGTATGATGATTGTCATTGACACATTGTGTCAAAAACATGCAAGATGATGCTTGTCGTCCACCTCAACCCTGACGTTCGTTGTCAACACTAATGCCAAGGCTAGCCATCAACGCCAACACTGACACTAGCTGCCGACATCAATACTAACTCCCATTGTTAACACCAATACTAATGCCCATTATCACCATCAAGACTGAGATCTTTCATTACCAATGTCAATACTTGACCATCGTCACCAATAAGAACAATGCTCTCTGTCAACACCAAGGTCAATTTCCGTCTTTGACCACCATTGATACTTGCCTAACACCCATCATCGACACGAATATTGATGCCTAACACCACCACTAAGTTTGAAACTCGTTGTCGCAAAAAAGTTTAGCTTTTTTCTATCATCAACAACCTCGATGCTCCTCAAAACCAACACCGACATCTTTCATCACTTCCAAAGTTGATGCCCATCTTCACCATCTTCATCTATCATCTTATAAGGAGAATGACCCAACATACCAATGAGCGTATGCTAATAATAACTCAAACATTTCAAGGCTCCATCTACTTCCAATCATGAAAAATCTTCTACAATTCATGTCCACTACATTATATTAATATCTTTTACAATTACAAAAAGCGTGCATTCTTTATAATATACGACTCACTATTAGAATCATTTCAACTGGATTAAGTACTACAATTTTTCCCCTTCATAGATTTTCCACATAAGCAACCTTATGTAAGCTTCTTGTAATATATATATATATATATATATAATACATTATATATATATATGTGTGTGTGTGCGCGCGCGCGCGCGCGCGAGTGAATGATCCAACATGTGATAATAATCTAAAGAGAAAAAAGTTCTCAGCCAAACAACATCCACTGATCATATACAATACATGATGAGGTTAATATATTCATTAACTAATATAATTGTTCTGCTAACCCAATATACTTTATCTTCAGGCAACTCCATTCACAACGTTCTCGAATCTCTTCAGAGTGAGAATAGAATATTTGGCTAACATATGTATTCTATCAATCTTAACCAAACCGACTAAGAGTATTCAGGATTTCCATTGTTATTTAACAAAAATAATTAAACTAATAGTATAAAAATTTGTATGGAGACATACTCTGGTGGTTGAACAATTCATTTATATGAGCCAATACTTTCAATGGTTATACTTATGAATACAAGTTTCTTGTTTATTAACGAAAAGGCCATACAAAATACAAAGCTGCTTATGTGGAAAAACTTTGAATCTTTCATGCACGCAGCCATCCCCAAAGAAAAAAAAAATATTAATAAAAGAGTAGTGCAATGTTCCAGCTACTCAAATTCTGAACTTGTAACCCCTATTGTTTATCTTTTCTCGAGATACCTATCCTATCCCTTGTTGTTAAACCTGACTAACAAAGCTTTCTTTGACTCATATGGAATAAGCAGATCAGCAATCACCAAAAAGATTGAGAAAGAACAAAATATACAGACTTACAAGAGGCCGCCTATTACATTAATCTTTGAAAGAGCTACATGTGCTCTAAGCTAATACATATAGAAGATATTTTTCACGACGTTTCTTAAGCGCCAAAGAAAGAAAGTATTTCGTTGGTGTAATTAAAATGCAACATTGACTCAAAACTCCGTCTAATGATCTCTTTGACAAAATGAATGAAAAATGAAATATTTACTTTCTATAAAAAAATTCTTCCTATCTAAGATGAGCACTTAAATAGTTTGTGAAATCGCCCAGGCCCACCCATCACAATGTGATTGAAGAAGCATTGAAACAATCCAGACTAAAAACATCATAATATGCAAGAGACAAAAAAAAAACTTTAAAATTTCAAAATATGAGATAATTTGAAGAATGAAGAGACCTGTTAAAACAACATCATGGAGGCCATTGCCATGGATGAGGCTAATATGTCTTCCACCCGGTCTCTCCCTTCCACGCCCATATGAAGGCAAAGGCTCTATCAGTGGCCACTCCTTAGGATCCTTGGATGTTGCAATAAAACAAAAATCAGCCAAGAAAATTTTGATTTACTAAGATCACGATGAAAAACAATGCTATGTTGTGTATATTTCTTAGACATATTAAATGCTAAGAAAATAAAATAAATTTTCTTTTAAGTTGAAGGAATTCGTTAGAAAGCACAAAACCTTAACATAACACTCAAAAGTAAAGAGAAAAAAATTATAAAAATTAATTACCATCATTTCACAGGAATCCCTTGTATACCAGTAAAAAAAACTCGAGACCACCTAAAATAGCTACATTAGAAACCAGGCTTCCAAAAAAAAAAATTATTTTTACAACATATCTGAGAATTATATTTCTGTATTAAAGAAAAACTTGAATCACGTGAAGGGAAGACAATTGAAGTGCACCGTTACGTTCAACTAGCTGCAATCACAATAAGTATAAACGAAACCTCTCTTATCATGCAAACCAGATTCAATTTCAGGAAACCATACCGCCAGGAAGAAAACTTGGCAATACCAGAAACCAAGGTCATAACAAGTGTGAACGCCATCAATTTCAAAAGAAAAATAATTAGGGAAGCACTTATGAAAACAAACACGTCGATCTACCACCAAAACAAACATCAAAACCCGGCCCCTCTTAGTAAAAAAACCTCATTTTCTTGAATGAAAATGAATATTGCTTAACAATACCACCTAAAAAACACCAAGTTCAATCCACCGTGCAACCAATCATTAGTTAAAAGAACGATTTAACAACCACCACAGAATCAAACCTAACATCCAAAAGAACGCTTTATTTCCCCCAAAATCATCAATCCGACGCTTTAAAATATTGAAACGGATATTCATCAATAAAAAGAAAAAAGCAAAAAACAAAAAACGAACCCCACCTCTGATCCCAAGATTACGGCCCCATCATCCAAGAAAAGCGTGAAATTGCTTGACAAATTAAAGCTTCCCGTGAGCCATCTGCCAGGCGGCACGTTTAGCTGGGCCCCACCCTTGTCCCCAAACTCCCTGCACCTCTCCACCGCCCGCCGGAACGCCGCCGTATTAGATGTTCGGCCGTCACCGATCCCGCCGAATTCCTTTATCGAGAAAACTGCCTTCCTCGGTGGCCCTGCGTCGTAGAATCCAGCGCAGCTTCGATTGGCCGGAAGGCTGGCACTGTAGGCGGCGACGGTGGTCGTCGGCGGAGAGTAGGGGGCGCCTGCGGGAGTGGAGTTACGCTGGAGGAGGGAGAGGAAGACGATTGAAGCGGCAGCTAGGAGGCTTGCGGCCAACGAAGGTCTCTTGAGGCGGACCCACTTCCATGCGCGACTAGGGAGCCACGGTTTCTCCGCGACGTCCATGTCCTCTTTTTCGTTTGATAGGGGCTCTTATTTTAAGAAGGCCAAGAAGGCAAAAGGCTTCGTAATGATGGAAAAATGCATCTATGTCACCGCAAATTATGAAATTTCTTTTCACACCTAATTTCGAAATTTTTTATTTATTGGTATTGTGAATCAAATTAATTTTTATTTTATTAAAATACTAATTTAACTATATTTTTTAATTTTTAAATTTATCAAAATTAAAATTAAATTATAATAATTCATTCAAATATTATAACAACAAAACACATTAATTTAAATAAATAGTAATAGAAATTCCAGACTGAATATTATTATTTTTATATAAAAAGTATATATATATAATATATATATTATATATATTAATATATATAATATTAAATTTAGTATTATATTCTTGATTTTTGTTCATGTGTGACATCAATGGTAGATTATTCAAAGCTAGTGAAATTAAGAGTCATTTGGAGGCTATAATATTTTATAAATTGAATATGAATGTTGATGTGAAAAATAGTTTAAATATTCTGATTGTAAAAATGCAGAGTCACTGAGGGAATGAACATTATTATAAACTTGCAAAAGCCACTAGAAAATAGTAATCAAATTAAATTTTTGTTATTGTATTAAAAGTGTAGTGAGAAAGTGTCCGAAACATACTCTAAGTCATATAAAATATACAAAATAATATAAATTGACTTATCATGAAATATAAAAACTTTTTATGCTCTCACCATCTCATTCACATTTTATTTTGCCAAACCTTGATATGAATTATGGACTATAAAATAGTCATTACTGGCTTAACACTATGTTGAACAAAGGGACTAATTGTAATAGAGCAATGATGGTTGAAAGGACTGTAATCAAGTAATGATGGTATGAATACCATTATCAATTGGTACTTTAAGTCAAAGAATTATAGTTGGTATAATGCTCAGAGACTATACTTGGACGATAGTGGTCAGAAGATCGTAAGTCAAGTAATAGTGGTCAGAGGACTATAGTGACAGTGGTCGAAGGTCCTTAGCTGAGCAATGGTAGTTGGAGGATCGTAATCAACTGACGATGAAGGTCGAAATACTATAATGGTCAGCTGACAAATGATTAGTGGTGACGGTCAGGGCGGTGGCTCGACATTGGTGCTTGGGGTTCTGTGATGCCTAAGAACTCTTTTGAATCTCAAGCTAAAGTTCAGCCTCCAACTTAAGTTATCACCTTTCTCTCACTCATGTAGAGAGTAATGACTTATTTATAGATTTTTTAAAGTGATATGTTCCCTAAATATAGTTAAAATCTGGAACACTCCATCGTACACCCATTTTGATTCTCTTGATCATAAAGAAATAGTTCAAGATTTGAGTATCTTAATGATGTTAAAATCAAGTGATTTTGAGCTAGTTATACTTGTCTGGTCAAGCCGCTCAATTCGATTATAAGCATATCAAATTTGTAGATTACCTTGCTATTTAATTAATATCATGAATTTTTTAATCACACTTTAAATCCTTGATTTGAGCTCATTCAACCTCTGATTGAATTTTTTTTTTTTAATTTCATCTCATTAAGACACTCAGTTCAACTACAAGTTTGTTGAAATCAAAATTCAAATAGCCTAAACTTAATTTTAAAATTGTTCAATTTAAATATGTATTGAGATTCGTGTCAAATAAAAAAATGTTCATTGTGTATCAATAAATATTTTATTTTTTTTGAATTAATTTAAAAATCATCATAATTAAAAATTAATTAATATATTCTCACTAGTTTTGTTTCTTATGTGACATAAGTGGTGGATTATGCAAAGCCATTGGAATTCAGTTGTACAAAATAGTATAGAATAATATACATTGACTTGTCATAAAATAAAATAAAAAAAATTATGCTCAGCCTAACGTGGTATGAGTCGTATGACGACCCGAAGTATTTGCCAATCATAATTTACCGCGTGGAAAATGCTTGCCGCCCATCGCTTATCATGTGCAAAAAATAATAATTAGATTAGGTTGGTGTGAATCATAGAGCAAATAAAAATAAATAAGAGAATAAGGGCTGATTTGATTAAATTATTATAAAAATAATAATTTTTTAAAAGCAGCTGTAAAAAGTATATTTCTTTCAAAAAAAAAAAAATTGGAAACATCAAAAATACTTTGGGTGTGAAGTAAAAAATAAAAGTCTAAATAAAAATTCTTATGATTTGTACTCGAAGAATTTGCCAATCATAATTTACCGCGTGGAAAATGCTTGCCGCCCATCGCTTATCATGTGCAAAAAATAATAATTAGATTAGGTTGGTGTGAATCATAGAGCAAATAAAAATAAATAAGAGAATAAGGGCTGATTTGATTAAATTATTATAAAAATAATAATTTTTTAAAAGCAGTTGCAAAAAGTATATTTCTTTCAAAAAAAAAAAAAATGGAAACTTAAAAAATACTTTGGGTGTGAATTAAAAATTTAAAATAATAAAAAAATTGTTCCAAATAAAAATTCTTATGATTTGTACTCTAAATTCTTATTTCTCTTTTATTTATACAAAGAAATTTGCATTTGTTAATTATAGTTTAGGAGTATTTTTTTAGAATATTAATTGTAGCAATTAATTTTAAATGATTAAATATAAAATTCAATTAACTATTGGCTTGACTAACTGAAAGAATCATCCCAATTTTAAAGGAGTCCATGTTATGAGCATCTACCTCATTAAATAATGGGTTCTATTTCTAAGGACAGAGGAAAGAGTAAGTGGTTTAAATTAATGATTTTTTTTAATTGAAAAATATAATAGGTGATTATCAAATGAAGAAAAAATCTAATAGGGATAGCCTCGATGAAGAACAAGCCCAACCAAAGAGAAGAAGAAACAAGAATGAATAGAGAAAGAAGTGGATAGTGAAGACAGAGGTAATAAGGAAATGATATGATTACATCTATTACAGATGAAGCCAAGTATTTAAAGAAAGTGAGTGGCCTCCATACATATTAACCAATGGATGATTGCCACATCATAAAGAAAGTACAACTATATTAACAGAGTTATAATACATGATTCATATATCTTTATGCACTAATACACCCCTGCAAACTGATGGGTCATGGATAACAGTCAGTTTGAGTCGTAGGTAAAGAACCCTAAGTGTAGAAAGAGATTTGGTGAAGACATCAGCCACTTGATCTACAGTGTTGGAGACGAATGTTATTGTTTTGAATGTGATACTTGAGTAAAATTTAATCAATTTCTATATGCTTTGTACGGACATGGAAGATTGGATTGTTAGCTAATGCTATATCATAAGTTTTATCACAATAGATGTGTGTAGGACAATCTTGAGGTATGCCAAAATCTATAAGAAGTCGACGAAGCCAAATAATGTTAGATGTAAGAGATGCTAAAGCACGGTACTGTGATTCCGCCGATGGTTTGGCAACCGTGTGCTACTTTTTAACCATCTATGATATGATTGTGTCTCCCAGAAGTGAGTAATATATGTATGTAGATTTTTGAGAGATTGGATCTCCAACCCAGTCGACATCTAAAAAAGATTTAAGAATGAGATTAGTTTTCGTAATAGGAATACCGTAGTCAAGCGTACCTTCGATGTAGCATAAAAGGCACTTTTATAAGATAAATGTGTTGAGGAAGGGGATGATGCATATGCTACGATAATTGGTTGACACTGTATGCAAAGTCCGGGCGAGTAATCGTCAAATATTGTAGGGAGACGGTGAGTCTTTTGTAGGTATGAGGATCATATAGTACAAATTCATAAAGGAAATTTATGGGTAGCTTCGTACAGGTGGGATTGGATAATGGATTGCAGTGAGTCAATTGAGCTTGCTGAAGAAGCGTGTAAGTGTATTGCTTTGGGATAAGAAATACTTTTGATCGTTATAATCAATCTTGATGACGAGAAAATCATGAGCATTGCCAATATGCCTCATAAAAAAATTTGGTACCGAGTTGATCAATGACCGTAGAGATAGCTTCTTGATTGTTACCCGCTATGAGTATCTCATCAATGTACCTAAGTAGGCAGATTTGAGCTTGGGGCTGTCAGAGTATTAATAGAGATGGGCAGCGTTGCTGTGAGAGAATCCTATAGATACCAAATATGACGTGAACGTGTTGTACCACTGTCTTAGCACTTGTTTAAGTCCGTAAATTGCTTTGTGAAGAGGACAGACATAATTATGATGAGTGCTGTTTTTAAAGCCTTTCTATTAGGACATATAATCATTTTCTGGTAGATTGCCATGGTGAAAGGCATTGGCCATGTCAAGCTGGTGAATAAGCTAGTCATTGTAAAGAGCCGCAACTAGTAGAATGCAAATTGTAGGTAGCTTAGCCACTTGGTTGAAAGCTTCTGTGTAGTACCAGCCATATTTATGGTTTTCTTGTGCGACCAGCCGGGCCTTGTGTTTGGCAACCGAACCATCAGCATGAAATTTAGTTATATAAGTCCATTTACATCCTAGAATAGACGCATCCTTGGGTGGTTGAACTAAGCTCCATATGCCTTGCTTTGTAATACCAAGAATTCCATGGCCATAGCTTGATTACACTCTAGGTGCTTGATTGCTTCATTGTATGTGGTGGAAATAACTGGAGAGGATAAAGAAGTATGAGCATGAAAAAGATTTAATCGAACTCGAGGTTTAAGAGATCCTGTTTGCTTCCTGGTAACCATCAGATAATGAGGCAATATGTGAGAAGATGGGAGCTGAGAGTGATTGTTTTACATAACAGGATTAGTCGTAGAAGATATAATAGACAGGGCATTGGTGCTGTAGTGGTTTGATGAATTTGGTGCATAGTCGATGACATCACTGATATAGGAGTGAGGAGGAATGGAGAAATGTCCTTAGCAGATGTAATTGTTGAGGAAGAATACTCGGTAAAGGGGAAATATTTCTCATTAAACGTTGTGTGCTTGAATATTATGATTTTGTTAGTATTGAGATCCACACACTTATAGCCTTTATAAGAGAGAGGAACCCAAGAAAATGCAGGATTTGACTTTGGGTTGAAATTTG